TGCCTACTTCCTGCCCACATTTTCTCATGGTTACAACTGTCTAGATAAATCCAGTCTATTATTGCTGGACCTGCTCTGTCACTGATGACCAGTAAAGACAGAACACCAATAAGCTGCCAGGATGGAGAGCCACTTCTGTGTCTGTTTTTCCTGGCTTTCCTTGCTTTCTGTGTCTTTTCCTTTGTATCGTTTTATCCGCACTTCTTAGGATGCTCTCATCGGTTTTCTGCGTTTTTAAAAGTAGTTGCACATTTACCATAACAACAACCCAGATGAAATTATTTCATCACACAAATATTACATTCTGAGGTACTTTAGGAAATACGTAATTTGAACTATCACATATAGTTAATTTCCATTGCTTTCTGACTCATGAGGTGTTCCAAGAATTGTTGCATAGTTTCTGGTTATGTTTTATTATTCTTTTTGTTGATGTTGTAGACAAAGAAAGGTAAATGATTAGATTTTAGTTCTTTGAAGTCTATTAGTTGTGTTTGGTTTTGAGATTGTACATGATCAGACATGTGAGTTAAAAGAAGTTGCTGCTTTTCATTTACTGAGAACACTTTATGGAAATAAATTATATCTAGTTTGATGAATATGGTTGTTGAGTAGTAAATAGTTTTACTAAGTTTAGGGATATCTTTGGTGTGTATAGTGATCTGTGCCTGTTTGTCTAAGAAATCTTTTCCTATAAGGTCTGAGGTGGCTAATCCTGTCAATTCGGCTGGTCTTAGAATCACTACTAGAAACACCGAGATCACTACTAGAAACAGACTTCTTAAAGATCAGCATGGTATGATGAACATACAATCCACCCAACTTGTTTGCTCTCTTTTCTTCTCTATGTCCCCTCCTGATGAGCCCTGGGCTCCTGTGAGTGGAATTTGCCTGAAGATTGGCGTAAGCAATATAAGACACAATGCCCCTGTGCAGACGTTCAGGAGCTCTGCTGTTTCATGCTCATGCCTGATGGCCCTGCAGAATCCGGTTTGTCCACAGTCAGACTTCAGGATCATGGAACGGTACATTTTATCCCAGACTATAATTTCAAAAGAAATGCTTTGCCCCATAATATTTATAATTTTGCTTCATTATTTATATCCTGTATGATCCTATGATCAATCTATAATGTACTTAGAACATGATACAATCACTTGGCTTCTGAGCATTCAGGCCTTAAAAATATATTGGTTGAATGTAGTGAATATGATATCTTTAATAAGTGGGAACTAGAGGTGTAAAGCTACTCAACTGAGAGTCTCCAGATGTGGTCAGAAAGGACAGAATTAGAGCAGCTACGGAGGCTTGATTGCCCTGATCCTATGTGACTTTGTGCAACTCATGGCAGGACAGGCTGCCTGTTTGGCAGTCTCTGTCAAAGTGCTTTCAGCAATTTCTCTAGACCCAGCAGCTATTCTTGATTGGCTCTGCACTTTGAGGGATGAGCTAATCCTGTGGGTGGGTGTGTTCAGAAGTCTCTGTAGAATGACATATTTCATGGAAAGCCTTCACTAAAGTTCTTCATTTAAGAAATTAGCTCTAAACCCAAGCTGATACAGACAGCACTAAATGAACTAAGATGGTTTAAAAAACAAAACCCCCAAAGATGGAAAGGAAAAATAGATGAAGAGAGAAGGAGAAACAGTAGCACAGGGAATGAATGAAGTGTAGCACAGGGAATGAATGAATGACATTATCAAGTAATGAAATGGAGAGAAATGAAAAGGATATTGGTGTCAACATATTTGAAATTATTTGCTATTTTAATCACAGAGTAATTTGGGCTTTGAGGTCCGTAACTAAAGATAATGTTTTCTGAATATCCATGTCCTCCCTTTAGGAGAGAACAGAAGGAAATAAAGGAAGGAAAATGGAAGAGAGGGAGTGAAAGAAGAAGGAAGGAGAATGGGGTGGATGGAGGGAAGAAGGGCAGGAGGAAAGAGCAAGGTTGTATATCCTGAGTTAACCGCAAGACACAGCATCTCATCTCAGAAGAGCTGCATCCTGCTTCCAATGACATATTTAGAGGAATGGGCACTTGTATTTCACACAGTTTAGGTTATACTATACATTACGTTTTAAACATTGTCATTAATTTCTACATAATGCTGAAATAACTGACATACTTTAATTACTACACAGAAAAGTACATTCAAATTGCAAGAACAGTAACACGATAGTTCTATTGATTCCTTGTGGCAGAGCCCAAAGCCTGGCAATACAATGCCTCCCTTCATGGCATCATTAAATTACATAATAACTACGAGAGGTTTGTCTAAAGCAATGGGTTATCTTTGTTGAAGGACCAGTACCATTGTTGCTGGAGAGTGGAGTCAATGACTGTTCATAGTACCTGGCCCTACAAACACACTTTGCAAGTCAAGGCTTTCTTTTGACACACAATAATTGTCATCCTGGAATATCTCCAGATATTCTCTCACCCTTACTAACTGGCATAGCAGTGAGAAGAGATTTGTATATTCCTACCCACAGCTGTATCCCAAAGAATTCTACATACGATTCAGAGGAAACAGCTCTGTCTTTCCCCTTGAGAAAAAAAAAATAATGGTGTGTGTGTATGTGTGAAATCCAGGAGTCCAGAAACACTACCAAATTAAAGAACATTTCATTTAATGACAGTCCCCTTTTCTTGATGCCTAGAGTAAGTGATGCGAAGGATTTTGGGTTTTGTGTGAAAAGAAACAATGAAGATGATGATGATTTTGAAAAGAGTTGTGTGGGGCTTTAGCACTTGAAGACAAACTAACTGCTTGTTTGACTGAAGGACTAAAGCATCTCAGCCTAGCATACATCTGGTGTCAGTAGGATCTAACTTAGCGTTCCTACATCAACTAATGTGGTGGGTGAAAAGAAGCAAATCTGCTGGAACAAACTACACCTTGTTTCGGTTCACAGATTTTCCAGAAAAGTGACTCTAGAATCTCAGAGTCATGAAACCAGAAGAAAGTGCTCAGCGGTAGATTATAAGGCAAATGTGATACATCTGCCAATGCATTTGAAAGTGAACACAGAAAGTGCTTGCTGTAGAATAAACTCCAGGTTTGTTAATTCCTACGACTACTCTGGATAATCAGTGCTTGCCTTGGTTTAAACTTGCAGTGTGCAGCAGCTTTCCAAGTTAGCTTTGTCCTTATCTGGCAGTCTAGCTTCATAATATTTTCAAGCCACAAAATTAAAGCATATTTCTAAAAAAATTCTACAATCTTCCTTTTAAAAAATTAGCACCATGAAGAAGGCAATGTACATTGTATGTGACAAGCACAGTGGTGACAGTGTGATTTGACAGGCTACAAGAGCCACACCTGTGGCTTGAGCCATCCTCAAGATGATTGGTTGTCTTATGTTGACCATCTCCACAGAACAAAATTATCTTTCGATTATGAAATCATTTCAAGTGACCCAAATATGTCCACAAAATCTACCTAGTGTATGACAAATCAATATTGTTAATAATGTGATGTGCTAACTCTTTTATCATTTTAGAAAATCCATAATCCCTAGTTTTAGATACTTAATATCTATAAGTAGTTAGTTAATACTGTGATATCAGCTATGCTGTAAATAGTGTTATTGGTAAGAGAACACTACTTTTAAAAATCTTGTGATCAAGTTTTTTTGTATGTATGTGATTTAAAAAATACTCCTTTTTAGCTGAATTCTAATTTAAATCTAAAGTTTAGAGGACATTATAGCTGGACTATTTCTCCCACTCAAGTGATACGTTATATATAGGCACATATGTGATATCATATTAATTGAACCAATGACAAGAATTGAAGTATATCCACATATCCCTAAGTGTGGAAGGGATCATTTAACAAATAGACTTTTTCCCACCTAACTATCACCTTCTTACTTTGTTAATTATGTTTTGGTGATAAACTCTGTGCTCACAACACTGACAGTTTGTCTAAGAGAAGACAAGTTGATATCTGAAATGTTTTATTATGTCAAATCAACAGTCATCTAGACAATTGCTCATGTGTCAAGAGCATAGAAAGAAGGCACTGGACGTTGAAGGGTGATGTAGCCCATGAAAGACTGTAAACATACAAGGTTTGGAGTTTCTTTAGAGCAAAAGGAGTCATATTTTTGTAAACAGTTTGTGCCCAACTTATACAAATGGATATAGTTCAAAAAGGCTTCATGATGCAAAAATCAGCATTTCAGAGAAATTTAAAAAGTTTCACTTTATAATCAAATGAGTTAATCTCTATGTGTTGTCTTGCATTTTTTAACTCTTCTTAAGAAGACAAGCTGGCTTCACGTAATACCTGCACTTAGAGACCTGCAGCCACCATGGTGTTGAAAGCAGTCAACAGAGCAGAGACACTACGTTTAAAAGCCTTTCGACTGTCTTTTATAAAAATTCATTTAGTCTCATGGAAAAAGGAATTCTACCTTTACCAGGAAAGGCTATCTGGGATTCTGACCAAAGCTAACTTTCACCTGTCATTGTTGCTATGATTTTTACCCAGTGTTTGTTAGTAAATGGGATTTCCCAAGACTTCTGATTTTGGCTTTCATTTGTGTAAAATACAACAGCAGATGTTTTACGACTTGGTGGGTCTCTTTGCTAGCTTTCTTTTTGAAATAAGCTTTTTCTTGTTGGGAGGGAAGTGGAAAACTCTCAACAGGAGATAGTAGAGAGGTACAGTTGCCTTGGGTAGTGACAGAGCACCTGCCCTGACAGGACATGGTTTCATTTAAGTAGCAACAATCCATGATTTCCCAGATTCTGAATCCACAGGCTCCACCTGTAACTGTTTACAGGACCCCAGAGAGTCCTGGGATCACCCAGTGGATGATGTCAGCCTATGTTCTCTTCTGATAGCACACTGCCAGCCTCTATTAAAGTGCATAAAGACTGAGTTAAAAATAAAAGAAGGAAAGAAAAATAAATGGCTACATGGCTTCCAGCATCCAGCCCAAAACCCAGAGGCAACAGTGGACCGAGAAGGGGCATGAAGGTTCTCCACTTGTGTGTGGATTAGATTAAAGGTTTGTCCATTACAGATGATTTGTTATCATTTACTGAAATATTCTTCATGATGTTACCATATTGAACATCCAAATTTTCTTTCAACTTGTTAAGCTCAAAGTCATGAATAATTTTGACAGTCATTAACTTTTCTCGTTTGATTTTCTCCACGACATCTTTGGGAACATCTGGTATCATCCAGGCTAGTAAAAATTTAAACAGAAACACGATGTGCTAAGAGAGAGAGAGAGAAAGATAAAGGAAGATCAGTAAGCTATACTGTTAGGACCAACAAGAATTTAGCAAGGAGTCCTTACAGGTCCCCTGAGAATCTGATAAACTCTGCTGGACACAGGAAGCACAAAGTTTACCATATTTGTATGTGTGTCTGCATGCATGCATATGTGTACCCATATATGCATATTCATACATGTGTTTATCCTATAATTTTCACACAATGGAATTAAATAAATGTATATCTATTTTATATTTAAGTAACCAATTGGAGACATAGATCATGACTATTAAAAAGAAAAAAACAACTCCACTTTTTCTGTGTCCTGTCCTAAGAACCTAATAAAACACTCTTTAAAATAATCCCAACTTCCTTTAGAAAGGAAAGCTTATACTCAACCATGTAATTGGGGACTTACTGTGAAGTGGACATCTAAGGCATACCAGCCATTTTATTTTAGATTGTTAGAACATTTTCCAGGAATGAAGGGGCCAGGCCTCATGAGGACATTAGTGTAGGGCAGAATTGAAAACAAGATCATCAGTTTGAAATTTCTATGAGGAGTAGTAGAATGTTCTGGCAGTATGTGAAGACGTCTTATTTCTATACCAGAAAGCCATGAACACAGAGCTACAGGCTGTGGCATAGTGTGGAGCCCATGTCTACTTGGTTAGAATCTTTTTCTTTCTCTCAGAGTGTCTTTCTTTCTCTTTTCTCATGTGCTTAAAAAATGTACATTAAGACCCAACAAGGAGCTGAAAGAGTCAGATGCAGATATTTGCACCCAACCAATGGACAGAAGCTGCTGACCCATGTGGTTGAACCTGGAAGAAGCTGATGAGGAGAGTGACCCTGTAGGAGGATCAGCAGTCCCAATTAACCTGGACCCCGAGATCTCTCAAATACTGGACCACCCATCAGGCAGCATACAGCAGCTGATATGAGGCCCTCAATGCATATACAGCAGAGAAGTTGTCAGGTCTGGGTTCAGTCGGAGAAGATGCACCTAACTCTCAAGAAACTGGAGGCCCCAGGAGTTTAGAGGTTTGATGGGGTAGGAGTGGTGGGTGGGGACATCCTTGTGGAGACAGGGGGCAGGGAGGAGGTATGGGATGTAGAACAGTTGGAGGGTGGACTGGGAGGGAAATAAAATCTGGAGTGTAAATAAATAAATAAACAAACAAATAAATAAATGAGTTTTTAAAATGTCTTAATATGGGGCTGGGTGATGATTCAGTGGCTAAAAGGACCGGCTGCTTTCCCAAAGGACCTAGGTTCAACTCCCATATCCACATGGTAGGTAACAAATGTAAATCTGGATTCCAGGGATCTGACACCATCGTCTGGCCTGTATGGGCACTTCGAGCAAGTGATACACAGACATACATGCAGGCAAAACACCTGTACACATAAAATTAAATTAAAATAAGATGAAATACATATAAGAAGAATGCCTTAATAAACTGTAGAAGCCTCTGGAGAAGCCAACACCAGGCTCTTGGGTGCCTTTGGATATATTTCGTGGCTGTCCCCCCTTAGACTTTTAAAATTACTTATTTATTGATTGTATGTATGTGTGAACATGTGGGTGCCATGTAGAAGTTAGTTGTCTCATTCTCTTGCGTGGATTCTAGAAATGCAACTTGAATTGTTGAGATTGGAGGCAAACACTCCCCCTCTGAGACATCTTGCCAGTCCCCTTTCTATTAAACAAGCAAACACCAACCCAACACTGCTTTATACTAGCTATGCTGGAAAGCCTTTTCTGCATTGATCCATCTGGGATAGCAGAACTACAGACTGAACTTTTGTGGGTGTGGTGGTTTGAATATGCTTGGCCCAGGGAGTGGCACTATTAGGAGGTGTGGCCTTGTTGGAGGAAGTGTGTCACTGTGGGGGTGGGCTTTGGGATCCTTGTCCTAGTTGCCTGGAAGACAGTCTCTTCCTGGCTGTCTTGAAATCAAGATGTAGAACTCTCACCTTCTTCTCCACCATGTCTACTGCCATGCTTCCTTCTATGATGGTAATGGACTAAACCTCTGAAACTGTAAGCCAGTTTCAAATAAATTTTTGCTTTTATAATAGTTGTCATGGTCATGGTGTCTTTTCATAGCAATGGAAACCCTAAGACAGTGGGTTTCTAATGAAAGGTGGGCTCACTACCTCCACATACTAAGGTTGTTCCTTCATTCTTTTAATCCTCTGACTCTTGAATGCTCAATATTGTTCTATCCATCATGCAATAAAATGTCTAATAAGAAAGAAAAAGAACAGAACAAACAGGAGTCAAAAGGAAAGAAAACTAATGAGGAGAGCCAAGGCATGGTCCCATCTCTTTACAGGTGAGGAAAAACGTGACCATTGACTTGAGGCAAGACAGGCATTGTAGTAGCAAGACAACAGACGAAGGAGGAATTTGAAAGGACTTCTTTTGTTTGTTTACACTCTCGAACTTGAAGAGTGTGCTTTCAGATCTAGGGTTCTCAGTCAGCATCTACAGCAACCATGTTGTCCAGTAGGGAATAACTTGTTTGTGAAGTTTCAGACTGGACTGGCAAGTGAGAGAATTCTAAGAGTTTGTTCATTTTAAGGTCACTAATAATGAAGGAGACTGAATGGCACTGCACTTTATAACAGTATTAGAAGCTGGACGAAAATGGAGCAATGTCTTAAATAATTTTCAAGATTGTCAAAATTAAGGTTAACAAATCAATGGAAACAATTTTAGGCTTTTAATTCCAGAACAAACGAATGCAATATTTTTAGGAAAACTTTCAATATTCAAATTTTCAAAAAAAAGTCACTTGTAATTTTTCTTCACAGAGTTCCTGAAAGATGAGTCCAACAAAATTAGGTAGCAGATCAAGGGGAATGCTGAAAGGAGTTTACTGTCTAGAAGATTGGTGTGTGTGTGTGTGTGTGTGTGTGAGAGAGAGAGAGAGAGAGAGAGAGAGAGAGAGAGAGAGAGAGAGAGAACGGAACGTAAGCCTAAGTAGGGAAATTTTTTCAGAGCATATTACATGAAACATACATTGCTAATATTTATAAAGTTATGGCATATAAGATATAAGCTTTGATTAAAGTCTTAGGTGGAACTCTGATGAATCCATTATTCTGGAGTTGAGAGTTATTAAATCAAAACTGCATCACTTAGTGAATAACCCAGGTGCCAGCAGGTTCTGAAGTGTTCCTTTGGCTCCTGACCTTGCTGCCATTTCCTTTATTTTGCTGCTGCCAAGGTGCGTTTACCAATTGTATGTGACTAATAAACTCCCATGGAGATGTTGTAACTAATGACAACAGATGATATCTTTACAATAAAGGTGAAGAGGCAAACTTCTCCATGATAGATGTGTTTAGAAACAGCTGCTTTGGAGAAGGGAAAAATAGATGGGATAAAAGAAAGAGATGGGGAGAGGCCAGGTCAGCTTACTTCCATTACTATGATGAAGGTCATCTTGGCAGCAAGGACATGCCAAAACTGCATGTTATGGTTATACTTTTCCTCATGGTCGGGAGGGTACCTATAATCTCTGTACCTAAAAAGGAAAAAGAACAAAAATGAACCATAGGTAGGTGGACATCTAGTTATAGAGAGATGATCTATGGTCGATTGATATGATATGATAGATGATAGACAGATGATGGAGAGATTAATAATCTAGGATAGATATAGATGATAAACATTTGATAGATGATAGGTGGGTAAACAGATAGAGACATGTAGGTAGATGAGAGATAGATAATCTGTAATAGATAGGTAGATAGGTGATAGATATAGATGACAGGTAGACAGAATGAGAGATGGAACATGATACACTGGATATAGTAGTAACAGTTCACATGTCCAACCCTACATATTCTATGCTGAAGAAAATCTTTAAATGGAATGATGGCTTGTGAACTGGCCTCATTTATATATATATGTATATATATATATATATATACATATATATATACACACACACATATATATATATATATATAATTTTATTGTCATTTATTTCTTAGTATATTTTCTGAGAATAAATGGTAAAATTCAGGTAATTAACTATACTGACTGTTAGAAAGATGTTGTGGATGAAGTCCAGGGAGCATGGGCTAGATAGTGAGGAGTATTTTCAAGAATAATTCAAAATTAGCAAATTATTTAAAAAATAATATGACCTCTATCCATAATGTCCCCTTGTTGTGTCAAGTAAACATTTTAGACAATAGGACACACATTAGAAAAAAAAAGATGATTTAAGAAAAACATTGAAAGTACAGTGTGAAAACCTAGACAGAAGAAGACCTGCAGGTGACGAAGTCTCTTTTCTCCATGGGTGCTGTGTGGTTCGGAAAGTCAGCTATCAGGAACACTGACAGGCTGTTATTGACGTATCCTCTCAAAGGCTCTGAGGAATTCGTTGAGTAGGCATAAAAGTAAACCAGCCGGGGGATGATGTCAGATGTGAATGAGACAATGAAGGCCTGATGGGCAAAGGCAGAGAAACATGATGAGCTCAGCCCAGGGCTCAAAGTCTGACTTGTATGCGAGCCTACTTTCGTGGTGATCCCCATGAACGTGAGATGACTCAAATACCACTCTAAAACACACAAAGGCTGATGGGTAGGCTGGGATTAATCTTCCAAGATTTCACAACTACAAAATACCTAAGTCAACAATTGAACCTACGTGTATTTGTTGCTCCAAAGTATGTTTTTTGTCCTAGGTTTTGCCATGGCTCATGTTCCTGATTGACACATCCACTGTCCTTAAAAAGAATTTCCTTTGTCTGGGCTAGGAGAGAAACAGGCAGGGATAGGGGAATTCATTTGACTGTATCTCTCTGTGTTATTGAACCTGTGTGTGTATTTCTGTTTGTATTCATGTCTATATATAGTCTTAAAAATCTGTGTTATGTGCTTATAGGTGTATATGTCTGTTTAGGTCTGTATGGATATACCTGTGTGTATTCATGACTATGTCTCTCTCTGTATGTCTGTGTGTAGCTGTGTTTTGTGTCTGTATATTGAGTGTGCCTATAGCAGGCTGATGAATGAAAGAATGGAGGTCGGGTTGACAATTGTAGCTTATTGCAAATAATTTCAGTGCTTCATTTTATGGGGGTACAATTTTTTCCAAAGTAAAATGATCACAGAAATAGTTTGCATATTCTAGATCAGATGAATGCCCTTAGAACCATCTAGCTGACTCTGGCACTAGTATATTTAGAGGTATATATTTAAAGAAAACCGTTTCTGAGGCTGAAAGGGATTGTAACTCCATAGGAAGAACAACAATATCAACTAACTGGACCCCCCTCGACCCCAGAGTTTACAGCGAGTAAACCACAAACCAAAGAGTATACATGGAGGAACCCATGTCTCAAGCTACATATATAGCAGAGGATTGCCTTATCTGGCATCAATGGGAGGGGAGGCCCTTGGTCCTGTGGAAGCTCTATGTCCCACTGTAGTGGGATGATAGAGTGAAGAGGCAAGAGTGGCTGAGTGGATGAGGCACCGCCATCATAGAGGCAAAGGGGAGGGGGATGTGATGAAGGGTTTGGAGAGAGGATACCGGGAAGGGGGACAACATTTGAAATGCAAACAAATAAAATAACCAGATTTTTAAAAAATTAGAAAAAAATAACCCCCTTTTCTGTTCTTCTATGGCAATGAGTTATATTTTGTATTTTTACTTATTGAATATGTCTGACACTCTTTTCTCACAATTGGTAATTTCAAACAGATTTTAAAAAACTGGCAGAGAGCAGTGTCGCATAGTTTCCATGGGTTTGGAGTTTTCCTTTTTGTTTATTTTTTTCAACAAATTAGCTCTTGCTTTATGCAGTACTTGTATAGATTACTCTTTTATTTTCTAAGGTGACTATGATTAATTTTTATTTTTATTTCTTTAGTGCTTCTATTCAGGTGTTGTGTCTCTGAGTTTTCCTTTGGCAGCTGAAGTCATATGCTTAGGGTAGGATTTCCTATTTGAGTTTTTAAAGAGTATTAGTAGTTGATGATTTTTCTGTAACCATTCTCTAGCTCATTTCTCCATGTTCCCATTGTATTTAAGCTTTACAATTTCAACCACATCCCCTTTACATAAAGCATTCTAAAATAAATCACAAATATTCAATTGTCAAATCTCTTTTGATTATCTCAGTAAAACTTCAATAGAAAAAACATAATTTTGATAAATAATAAGGCAATAATGTTAGTATTTGCTAAATGTCACTTTAAAAATAATCTTGCAATACATAAAAATAAATAAATTTGTATTTATATGTATATGTGTGTATAATCACTTCTTGACTGCATTATTTGAACACATTACATTATCACTGATTTTCTGCCTAGATTGGTGGAATCTGTAAAACAACATCATGAAATTCCAATGAGAAAGTACAGTTTTCTTTTTATTGTTCTTTCTTAGAAATTAGCACTTAGGATAGCTTGTCCTTTCAAACCATCATTGTGATGAAATTGGTGCCAATGAGGATTGATTTTAGGTGCCATTCACATTTCTCCACTGCAACAGATACAAAAAGAAATGCAAAGTCGTCCCACGGAAAAAGGCATACTTACATTAGTTGCAACAGAAACGATGGCCATTCCATAAAGAATATCTTGCCAGACACCTATGGAGTGAGCTTTCGCTGCAACAGGTCTCCTGTACTGAGTTGTCAGCTTCCAGGCATCCACTCGGATTCCCATAATGTTGTTCAAGAGAGCAAACAGGGGTGCCAGGGGAAAAGAGGCCACAAACAGTGTGACAAACCCGAACTGGATAACTGAAGAGACACGAGTTATCCATCATTACTACACAGAGAGGAGGTCCATTCATTCAGTTCCTGCCACCTGTACATGCACTACTTTTCAGCTGGTTTGTTAGGAAGTGAATAATAACACTGATTCACCCCTCCTTGCTTTTTAAGGAACCAACAAATAACCTGAAGCAGAGGCAGTGTGGGTTTTCAAGGTGTTAGTCTCAGAACTTCACCTAGAAAACTAGCTAATCTATTTAACTTCAGTATCTTCAACATGAAAAATAAATATGGTCCAAAAGTTCACTGCACAATTATCAAATGGTGAAAAGAATAAGTAAAGAGTTTTTAGTATAAATTAATTCTTGGTTGACTTTCAATGCACAGAAGCTAATTTTGTTATAAATATTTCACATCTTTATGTCAGTACCAATGTATCCTGCACACACACACACACACACACACACACACACACACACACACACACACTCATTCAGAACTTATATAATGAGGAAAATACTATTTTATCACCCTATATAGCAATATCTACCTATTGTACACCTAAGCTGCATAAAATAATATTTCCTATCTCTTTGTGCAAATGATGTACACAGTATTATCTAAGGCTATACAATATAAAGTACATTATGGTAAAGTTGGTTTACCTTGAAGGACAAAAAAGTTTCTATCACAATGAGAGATTTTAAGATGAAATATATCTAATAAACAGTAATCACATAATGGTTTTAAGATCATCTTCTTTGTTGCACCATGATTTTGGTAAGAAGTACATAACTGCCTTCTCTAGCTGCAGCAAGGCAGGGGATGTCTGTGACCAGAAGCACCCTTGACAGACCACACAAGCAGCCTAAGCACCAGCCATCTAATATCTAACCTCAGTGAGACTTTCTTTGTTTAATCACTCAGACAAAGAAAAATGGAACTGTTCTCTCCACCTATCCATTCACCCATCTATCCAACAACTATCTATCTTCCATCCACACATATATACATCCATGTATCTTCCATCAATTTGTTATCCATATATACATGTACCTGGCATCTGTATATATATGTATATATATGTATTCATGTGCTATCCATACATCTCTCTGCCATCAATTCATCCGCCTATTCATTCATTCATCTTTATGCTATCTATATATCCATCCACTATATGTGTGTATGTGCCATCCATTCATCTACTCACTTGTCCATCTACCTACCTATCCATCAATCTATTCACCATACATCTACCCATACACAGAATCACATATCCTTCTGTCTCCCAATATTTATATATCTTCCATCATTCATCCATCTGCCATCTATCCATTTATCCACCATACATCGATGCATCCATCTATCCTAGCATCCATCCATCCATCTATCATCCATCCATCATTTTCATTCAATAATATCAAGCATCTACCATACGTAAAGAAATTGGCAAGAAATGAAAACTATTGATTTTACGAGTGTTGATCCTGCCTCAGAACCATGATTGGAAATTACCTGTTTCCAAGTACTCATAGAACAGCCCACGATGTCCATAAATCTGAAGGTCGTGATCTTGCTCCCAACGACTGTACAGTTTCTCAGAGCGGGTTCGGGTCCTTCGGCGTCTCCACCAATTAAAAATTAAGCTGTCAGAAAGGATAAAAGTTGGCATGTGAAGAAGGAAGTCAGAGTGCCAGTGTGTTAAGTCTGGAAACTATCAGAAAGAGAGACTAAGTACCTTAAGTTAGCACAATAGGAAATAAAGTCCGAAAAAAAACCAGTATAGTTTTTTTCCACAAGTGGTGGTAGTTAGGTTCATAGAGCATATTAAGGAGGATGGTCAGGGCTTGGGGTAATGGCCAATCTCCATGTCTCTGAATGCTCAGAAAATGTTTACAGAAATGAGAAATTAAAGCAGAGGTTTATTTAAGTAAATGCAATCAATATATTACAAGACACAAACCAACCAAGTTCCATACCATATAAGTTATATTATGGTAGTGTTGGATTGTGCCAAGGAGTAAGTTTGTTTTTTAACTAGCAAATTAATCAGTACAATAGACACACTGACAGAGTTAATTTTAAACACAAAAGCACTTATCCAATACCTTCCTAAGTTTGCTTCTAACAGATAATCCTAGAACCAAGTTAGCTAAATCTGATGAAAAGAGACCAACAAAACAGAGAAAACTGTCCTCATCAGTGTGAAGAGCATTTGAAATAAAAACCAAAGTGAGAATGTGCATGGTCATAGACAAGTGAATGGTATGAAAAAAATAAATCAATGAAATAAAACAAACACTGGGCTGTGGTTATTAAACAGAATGTGCTGCTGCTGGAAAATAGACCCTTCACGTACTAAGTTTTTGAAATGGAAGAAAAAAACCATATTCACAGTTTTCCAAAACAAATAAACAAACAACTCAAAACAAAATTTAACACGGATCTAAGACAATAATACAGGATGCTCAACCTGAATTTCAAAGTATGCATTTTATGCATTTAAAGCAGTAGCTTCCAACCAGAGTGATTTTGCCAGGGAAGCTTTGCAATATTGGGAAACATTTTTCCGTTGTTAACAATGGGGAGGAGATGGCCAAGCAACCACTTCACAGTGACTCCAAGAATGTATCTATCCTGCAGTGCAAATGGAAACATGGAGATGCCAACTCATGACTGAGCGACCTCATGAGATTACTAAAAATCAAAAACAAAAAATTATGATTAAAAACATATTTTATACACATATACTTAAGAAAGAAGAACAGAGCTGGTAGCTAATGCTTTGAATCATTACTAAAAATTAAAAAAAAAAAGATAAGCAGCCGGGTAGGAAAGGTATCAAACAGCATGAGCAAGTGCACATTGCCAAAGGAGACACACACAGCTAGAGAGCCATCCGCTCATGTTAATTAGTCGGGTAAAGGAAAAGTAAGACCCAAAGAGACAGAGTTCATATGTGCAAATGGACAAATAACATTATCACATGGACTGCTGCAGCAATTGTGTATTGAAAAGAGTAAGAATAATTATTTATATATATCTTAGATCCAAACTGAAAAACCAGAAGAGGGAAAAAAGGAGGGTACACAGAGTTGAGTGGGGTGGGGATACTTAGGGATCCCAGATGATCCTCTGTGTGCTCCTACATACAGGGACTGCTGGATTCCACAGCACACATAATGACCTTTAATTCTACACTAATTAATTCTGCTCTGTTAAAAATAATTTTTAGTACCTATGATCTATTTGAAGCTATTTTTGAATAACTGAGATTTGCCCAACATCAAATTTTATATTTTGTGTATGGATGTCTGATTTTCTTCAATGTTTCCTAAAAATGAAAGGTTATTGGCTCTATCTATCTATCTATCTATCTATCTATCTATCTATCTATCTAATTATTTTTGTAACCAGGCCAAAAATAAATTAGTCATGTTTGTACATACCATGGATTTCTGACATCTCCATTTCCCCCCATTATCTACAGAACTAGTCTGTCAGCAATCTCATACTCTTGTCATTAACAAAGTTTTCTACTGAGTTTTACAATCAGGTGGAGTAATAACTCTATCATTGTTCCCTAGTTTCTTAACCTCCCACAAAATATTTAGAATCTGCTTGTCTATATAGAAAATAATGCTGGTATTTTCATGACATATATGCATTTGTCAACATAGGGAAAAAAGGGCAGTTTTACTATGTTGTGTTATTCAGTCCAGAAACACACCATTTTTCTCCATTAATATGTTTTCAATGTCATATAATAAATAGGAAATAAACCCAATCCCTGGCTTCAGATTGCTTCTAAAAGAGTGTTAATCCCCTTACAAATTGAGACCTTTATTATCCTTTCTCTTTTCATTGGTGGACATATTCCTCTGATGTATGTAATCAGCTGGTATTTTTGTTATGTGTACATTTATGTAACATGAATAAACATTTATATGTACATAAATTTACCTGTATATAACATATTTATTATTCTTGTGTTGGAGAAGGGAGCAATTCTTTTACAAATGACCTAAGTTCTCTAGTGTTTCTATGACTATACAAGATAACACAGAATTTGAAAACAGACGAACAAAAAACTTCAAAGGTTCAATATTTAGTAATAGTTACAATTAAATATAACATCCCAGGGCTCAGGCACCATCTGGTAAGAGGGGGCAGAAAGACTGTAAAAGAAGTATGAGGGAAGAACTGGAAGAGAAAGAGGTAAGAGCTGGAAGAGTGTGGAGAGGTCTCTTAGGGAGAGGACAAGATTCTTGTACTCATGCACTCACAGCCCCTGTGGCTGTTACACAAAACCTCAAACCAGTCAAAATTCCAGACTGAAGTAGTATGTGTGTGTGTGTGTGTGTGTGTGTGTGTGTGTGTGTGTGTGTATGTGTGTGTGTGTGTATGGTCATGAGCCATCAATCCTGGATGATGTATTCTGGAGAGTGGGAGTCATCTTTCTTTTTTTTTCCTTGTTTTTAATTCTTTTTTTTATTGGATACTTTATTTACATTTCAGATATTATCCCCTTACCCCAATTCCCCCCTTCCCACCCAGGAACCCTCTATCCCATCCCCCTTCCCCCTGCTTCTATGAGGATGTGCCCCCACATCCTCCCCCAACTCTGACCTCCTCATCCTCGAATTACCCCACACACAGAGTCCAGGCTTCATGAGGCCAAGGATCTCCTCTCCTACCTATGGCAACAAGGCAGTCCTCCCCTACATATACAGCTGGAGCCATGGGCCCCTCCCTAAGTGCTCCCAGGCTGGTGGTTTAGACCTTGGGGGATCTGGATGGTTGGTATTGTTGCTCTCCTCATGGGGTCTCAAACCCTTTCAACTCCTTCAGTCTTCACTCCTCCATTGGGAACCCCATGATCAGTTCAATGGTTAGCTGTGAGCATCTGCCTCTAAATATGTCAGACTCTTGCAGACCTCTGAGGAGACAGCTATATCAGGCTCCTGTCAGCATGTACTTCCTGACTTCCACATCAGCGTCTACCTTTGGTGACTGCACATGGGATTGATACTCCGGTGAATGGTCTCCAGACGGCCCCTCCTTCAGCTACTGTTCTACACTTTGTCTCCATATTTGCTCCCTTGAGTATTTTGTTACTTCTTCTAAGAAGGACCAAAGCACCCCCACTTGGTTTTCCTTCTTCATGAGCTTCAAGTGGTCTGTGAGTTGAATATTGTGTATTTCAAGGTTCTGGGCTAAAATCCAATAATCAGTGAGTGAATACCATGTGTGTTCTTTTGTGATTGGGTTACCTCACTCAGGATGATATTTTCTAGTTCCATCTACTTACCTAAGAATTTCTCAAATTCATTTGTTTTTAATAGCTGAGTAATATTCCATTGTGTAAATGTACCACATTTTTTGTATGCATTCCTCTGTTGAAGGACATCTGGGTTATTGCCAGCTTCTGGCTATTATTAATAAGGCTGCTATGAACATAGTGGAACATATATCCTTGTTATATGTTACAGCATCTTCTGGGTATATGCCCAGGAGTGACATAGCTAGATCCTCAGGTAATGATATGTCCAATTTTCTGAGGAACCGCCAGACCGATTTCCAGAGTGGTTGCACCATCTTGCAATCCCACTAACAATGGAGGAGTGTTCCTCTTTCTCCACATCCTCACCAGCATCTACTATCACCTAAGTTTTTAATCTTACCCATTCTGACTGGTGTGAGGTGGAATCTCAGGGTTGTTTTGATTTGCATTTCCCTGATGACTAAGTATGCTGAACATTTCTTTAGGTGCTTCTCGGCCATTCGCGTTTCCTCCATTGAAAATTCTTTGTTAAGCTCTATACCCCGTTTTTTATTAGGGTTATTTGGTTGTCTGGAGTCTAATTTCTTGAGTTCTTTGTATATATTGTATATTAGCCCTCTATCAGATGTGGGATTGGTAAAGATCTTTTACCAATCTGTTGGTTGTCATTTTGTCCTATTGACAGTGTCCTTTGCCTTACAGAAAGTTTGCAATTTTATGAAGTCCCATTTGTCAATTCTTGATCTTAGAGCATAAGCCATTGGTGTTCTGTTTAGGAACTTTTCCTCTGTGCCTAGGTATTCAAGGGTCTTCCCCACCTTCTCTTCTATTAGTTTCAGTGTGTCTGGTTTTATGTGGAGGTCCTTTATCCACTTGGACTTCAGCTTTGTACTAGGAGATAAGAATGGTTGGACTTGCATTATTCTACATGTTGTCCTCCAGCTGAACCAGCACCATTTGTTGTAAATGCTGTCCTTTAACCACTGGACAGTTTTAGCTTCTTTGTCAAAGATCAGGTGACCATAGATGTGTGGGTTCATTTTTGAGTCTTCAATTCTATTCCATTGATCTTCCTGCCTGTCTCTGTACCAATATCATGTAGTTTTTATCACTATTGCTCTGTAGTCCAGCTTGAGGTCTGGGATGGTGATTCCTCCAGAAACTATTTTATTGTTGAGAATAGTTTTCGCTATCCTAGGTTTTTTGTTATTCCAAATGAATTTGAAAATTTCTCTTTCTAAATCTGTGAAGAATTGAGTTGGGATTCTAATGGGGATTCTATTGAATCTGTAGATTGCTTTTGGCAACATGGCCATTTTTACTATATTAATCTTGCCAATCCATGAGCCTGGGAGAGATCTTTCACTTGCTTGGTTAGATTCACACCAAGGTATTTTACATTATTTGTGACTACTGTGAAGGGTGTCATTTCCCTAATTTCTTTTTCAGCCTGTTTATCTTTCATGTAGAGGAAGGCTACTGATTTGTTTGAGTTGATTTTATAACCAGCCACTTTGCTGAAGTTGTTTATCAGGTTTAGGAGTTCTCTGGTGGAAGTTTTAGGGTCACTTAAGTATACTATCATATCATCTGCAAATAGTGATATTTTTCACTTCTTCCTTTCCTATTTGTATCTCTTTGACTTCTTTTTGTTGTCTAATTGCTCTGGCTAGGACTTCCAGTACTATATTGAATAGGTAGGGAGAGAGTGGGCAGCCTTGTCTAGTCCATGATCTTAGTTGGATTGCTTCAAGTTTCTCTCCATTTAGTTTGATGTTGGCTACTGGTTTGCTGTATATTGCTTTTTTTTTTTTTAACTAGGCAAAGAATTTTATTAACCTTTTCCAAACTTTATTCCCAGGCTTTTTCAGCTTAATTTGCCGCAAAGAATTAGATATAAGCGAAACTGAAAAGAGCTGCACTGTCCGGGGGCTTGGGCTTAAAAATATTAAAGATCTAGATTTTATCAGATCCATAATAAACAAATTTTTTTAAAAAAGCAGTCATGATATAAAATAGCAGCTCCTGTAACTTCTGCAAATGTCATCTTCTTCAGAAGTTGCTTCCATTCAGTTTGTCTCATTCTTAGAAGCCTCATCAACATTCTCCACCAGATCTGGAACTTCATCATCATCATCCTCTCCAGTAGCAAGTGGTGCTTTTCCATCCACTGATTGTTTAGGCAGAGCTTCGGCCCGTCTCCTTAAGCTAGTCAGACTGTCTGCACCGAGCTGGTTTAGGATGCTGGGAAGCATGTCTGTCAGCTGCTTTGTCTCAGCATGGCCTGTAATGGTGAAGGTGTTTGCTGCCAGAGACGCCTGAACTTTAGGTTTGTTAAAATGGATCATTGTTCCTTGTTTTGTAAACATGTCCACCTCTTCAATACCAGAGATATTGTTTACCCCTAACTTCTTTAAGGAGAACTGCAGCTTTTTATCGTCTGCTGTGGCTGTTCTGTGAACCACCTTCTTCTTTCTACGAGCAGTTCCTTTCCCACCAATGTGCACTTGTGCCTGCAGTTTGGCAAGTTTTTCCTGGTTCATGATCGTTTCTTTCATCTTCTTGAAGTGGAAATGGGACCGCACGGGGAACTAAGGTTCACGCTCAGGGGGGATCGGGCAGACCAGCTAAGATAAGGTGCACACACGCGGGCTGTATATTGCTTTTTCTATGTTTAGGTATGGGCCTTGAATTCCTGATCTTTCCAAGACTTTTACCATGAAGGGATGTTGAATTTTGTCAAATGCTTTCTCAGCTTCTAGTGAGATGATCATGTGGTTTTTTCTTTGAGTTTGTTTATATAGTGGATTACATTGATGGATTTCCAAATATTGAACCATCCCTGCATTCCTGGGATAAAGCCCACTTGACCATGATGGATGATTGTTTTGATGTGTTCTCGGATTCAGTTTGCTAGAATTTTATTGAGTATTTTTGCATCAATATTCATAACGGAGATTTATCTGAAGTTCTCTTTCTTTGTTGGATCCTTGAGAGGTTTATGAGTGTGATTGTAGCTTCATAGAACGAATTGGGTAATGTGCCTTCTGTTTCTATTTTGTGGAATAGTTTGAAGAGAATTGGTATTAGGTCTTCCTTGAAGGTCTGATAGAATTCTGCACTAAAACTATGTAGACCTGGGCTTTTTTGGTAGAGAGACTTTTAATGAATTCTACTATTTCTTCAGGGGTTTTTGGACTACTTAGATGGTTTATTTGCTCCTGATTTAACTTTGGTACCTGATATCTGTCTAGAAAATTGTCCATTTCATCCAGATTTTCCAATTTTTTTGAGTATAGGCCTTTGTAGTAGGATCTGAAGATTTTTTGAATTTCCTAAGTTTCTGTTGTTATGTTTCCCTTTTCAGTTCTGATTTTATTAATTTGGATACTGTCTGTGCCCTCTAGTTAATCTGGTTAAGAGTTTATCTATCTTGTTGATTTTCTCAAAGAACCAATTCCTGGTTTTGTTGGTATTTTGTATAGTTCTTTCTGTTTCTATTTGGTTGATTTCAGCCCTGAGTTTGATTATTTCATGCTTTCTACTCCTCTTGGGAGTATTTGCTTCTTTTTGTTCTAGAGCTTTCAGGTGTGCTGTCAAGTTGTTAATGTATGCTCTCTCCAGTTTCTTTTTGTAGGCACTTAGAGCTAGCTATGAGTTTTCCTCTTAGCAATGCTTTCATGGAGTCCCACAAGTTTTGGTATGATGTTTCCTCATTTTCATTAAATTCTAAAAAGCCTTTAATTTCTTTCTTTATTTCTTCCTTGACCAAGTCATCATTGAGTAGAGCATTGTTAAGTTTCTAAATGCATGTGAGTTTTCCATTGGTTTTGTCATTATTAAAGACCAGCCTTAGTCCGTGGTGATTTCATAGGATGCAAGAGATTATTTCATTTTTTTTTTGTATCTGTAGAGGCCTGTTTTGTGGCCAATTATATGGTCTATTTTGGAGAAGGTACCATGAGGTGCTGAGTAAAAGGTATATTCTTTTGTTTTAGGATGAAATGTTCTATAGATGTCTGTTAAATCCATTTGGTTCATAACTTCTGTTAATTTCAATGTGTCTCTGTTTAGTTTCTGTTTCGATGATCTGAACATTGCTGAGAGTGGGGTATTAAAATCCCCCACTATTATTGTGTGAGGTGCAGTGTGTTTTTTGAACTTTAGTAAAGTTTCTTTTATGTATGTAGGTGCCCTTGCATTTGGAGCATAGATGTTCAGAATTGAGAGTTCACCTTGGTAGATTTTTCCTTTGATGAGTATGAAATGTCCTTCCTTATATTTTTTGATTACTTTTGGTTGAAAATAGATTTTATTTGATATTAGAATAGTTACTCCAGCTTGCTTCTTGGGACCATTTGCTTGGAAAATTGATTTCCATCCGTTTACTCTGAGGTAGTGTTTTTTTTTGTCACTGAGGTGTGTTTCCTGTATGCAGCAAAATTCTGAGTCCTGTTTATGTATCCAGTCTGATAGTCTGTCTTTTTATTGGAGAATTGAGTCCATTGATGTTAAGAGATATTAAGGAAAAGTGATCGTTGCTCCCTGTTATTTTTGCTATTAGAGGTGGAATTATGTTTGTGTAGCTATCTTCTTTTGGGGTTGTTGGAAGATTACTTCCTTGCTTTTTCTAGGTTCTAGTTTCCTTCCTTGTGTTGGCGTTTTCCATCAATTATCCTTTGAAGTGCTGAGTCTGTGGGAAGATATTGTGCAAATTTGGTTTTGTCATGGAATATCTTGGTTTCTCCATCTATAGTGATTGAGAGTTTTTCTGGGTATAGTAGTCTGAGCTGGCATTTGTGTTCTCTTAGGGTCTGTATGATATCAGTCCAGGATCTTCTGGCTTTTATAGTCTCTGGTGAGAAGTCAGGTGTAATTCTGATAGGTCTACCTTTATATGTTAGTTGACCTTTTCCCCTTACTGCTTTTGTATTTTTTCTTTGTTTTGTGCATTTGATGTTTTGATTATTATGTGACGAGAGATATTTCTTTTCTGGTCAAGTCTGTTTGGCATTCTGTAGGCTTCTTGTATGTTTATTGGCATCTCGTTCCTTAGGTTAGGGAAGCTTTCCTCTATAATTTTGTTGAAGATGTTTACTGGCCCTTTAAGTTATGAATCTTTACTCTCATCTATACCTATTATCCTTAGATTTGGTTTTCTCATTGTGTCCTGGATTTCCTGGATGGTTTGGGTTATGAACTTTTTGCATTTTCTTTGACAGTTGTGTCAATGTTTTCCATGGTATCTTCTGCACATGAGATTCTGCCTTCTATCTCTTGTATTTGGTTGGTGATGCTTGAGTCTGTGACTCCTGATCTCTTTCCTACGTTTTCTATCTCCAGGGTAGTCTCCCTTTGAGATTTCTTTATTGTTTCTGTTTCCATTTTTAGATCCTGGATGGTTTTATTCAATTCCTTCACCTGTTTGGTTGTGTTTTCTTGCAATTCTTTAAGGGATTTTTGTGTTTCTTCTTTAAGGGTTTCTACCTGTTTATCTGTGTTCTCCTGTACTTCTTTAAGTGAGTTACTTATATCCTTCTTAAAATCCTCTATCATTATCATGAGAAGTGATTTTAATTCTGAATCCAGCTTTTCCTGTGTGAAGGGATGTCCATGGCTTGCTATGGTGGGAGAACTGGGTTCTGATGATGCCAAGTAACTTTGGTTTCTGTTGCTTGCCTTTCACCATCTGGTTAACTCTAGTGTTACCTGTGTTCATTGTGTCTGACTTTCCAGTTTATCTTGCTTGTGTCAGAACTCCTCAGAATTCAGATGTCTCTGTGATCCTGTGATCCTAAACTCCTGGGTGGAAGAACTCCTGGGACTCAGGCCGCCTCTGGGATCCTAAAATCCTGCTGCTCTGAGTGCAGTGGTTCCTCTAGGATGGTTCAGGATATGTTGTCTTCACAGGAATAGACCAGTTAGGTGTTCACTGGTCTGAGTGGAGTGATTCCTCTAGAATGGGTCATCTTTCTTTAAAACTGTGACCCCTGGTATGTTGACCAACCTACAATGGATGGCCACACATTCAAGAGTACATGGACAGTATAAATGAACCTAATGTAGCACAGCAAAAGAAAAGTGAAAAAGAGAAGAGGAAGTTAGAAGTGGGTGGCGAGATAGAGAGTAGTGGAACTAAGAGGAGTTGGAGGAAGAGCAGATTGAATAGGATTAAAAATAATGTGACAGTAATAAATATACCCATCTTCTTACACTTATTTGAATCAAATATGCAATGGGTGAGTCATACGTACGGTTGACAGGCTTCATGGATGTTTCCAAAAAGCTGTTTCCCAATCATGATGATGGTTAGCTGGGTGGTCAGCTCTATCAGACAGCCTGCAGGACCACACTGTTGAGAAACAAAAGAGGAGAAAACAGAGATAGAGGAGGATAAAGAGAATTTTGCAGCATCTGGAATGTTTGAAACTCAAAAGTTATAGTCAGGAGTTATAATACGATCAGGCAGTGATAGAATTCAGGAGCAAATCGGCCCTACAGACCATTTATGACTGTATCACATCCATTTCTGAACTGTGCTGGAGATATTATTTTTAGTCTTATTCTTAAACAACAACAACAACAACAAAATATGAATCCTTATGTCTGTCTGGGCTAGGGTTAAAAAGTGGCATAATTTTCATGTGACCAGTTCAGAAAACATTGGTCATGTAAAATGAGCCATTGAAGAGCCCCATCTTGATTCATGACCCTTTGCTTGATTCTTTCAGGAATAAAAGTCCTATTCTACTTACTTTACATTTTATTGCCAAACCATAGATAGGCTCTTTGATAGTATCAATTGTCAATCGGTTAAAATGTAGCAGAACCACCTGGGCAAAGAGCCTCTGGACATGCATATGAAGGATGATTTTTATATTAGTAATTGAAGCGAGAAGACCTGGTGGGTGGCACCATTCCCTAGATGGAATCCTGGGTAAGGATAAGTGGAGAAAGGAAGCTGAGCGGCAGCAGGCATTCATTGCTTTCTGATTTCTGACTGTGGATGAGATCAGAACAGTTGCTTCAAGTTTCTGGTGTCTTGAATTTCTTGCCACGATTGACTATACTCTTGAATAGTGAGAGGAAATAAACCCTTTAACCTTTAAGTTGATTTTTTCAGGGTATTTTATCATAGTAACAGAAAAAGAAGCCAAAACAGGCCCCAAATCAAGTTTTGCTCAAAGAAAACTTAAATATCAAAGAGATGATAAAACTGATCAATGGATGGAGTGTCAGAAGCAATCTAGGAGAGGCTAAAAACTAACAAGAGACTTTCTAGATAAGACCCATTGTTTTAATGGCCTTGATGGGTAAAATGTTGAATTGCAAGGCCTTTAGAGATCTTATCTCAAGATTTATTCCCATTATTGTTATGTCTTTTCTGTCAGTATTAAGATAGTCTAATAATTCCTGGGCATTAGCCTACCCTATTAGGCAAATTTTATGCAGATCAATGAAGATATACACACTTGTAGTAATGCTATTGTAGGCAAATTGGTGATTTCACATTTCTTAATAATGATTCTATAGAATTCCTAAATTTATACAAGTAATTTTGAGCTCTTTATAGTATGAAAGCCATAACTAGAGTTCTGAAAACCTTCCTGTGTCACAGGCTAATTGCACTCAGATAGAAAGCAGACTTGGAACATATTTACAATCAGGGAAAACAATTTTTCTAGGCTATCTTTGAAACCATTATCTGATAACTAAATGTAATAAACTGAGGATGTACAATTTTCTGTAGGTGGAAAGACAAAAGATAAAATATTGACTGGACTTATCTATACAAAACTTCAAAATTAATGAGATACAAGGCAGGTGATTTGCCTCTTGACGAAACTGTGCTAACTTATGACATAAGAGTTATTGTTTTAAACTTTTAATGAATTGTGGAGCTAGTAACAGATAATGAATATTTAATTACGTACTAGTCTTGATGGAAACACATGTAAGCACTCCTGATGAAACTCCTTATTCGATGTATCGACTTGAATTAATGTTTTGAACTTGTGATGAACTTGTTTTGGAATGTAAAACCACTTAGAAAACCATGTGATCTATTCTCTTGAGAAAGTATAACAATTAAGAATGATGACAATAAGGGACAAGATTTCTTTCATTCAGCAATAAAAAGTTTTTTTTTCTCTCAGTAATAGATAAGCCTTTCTTCTTTCAACAATAAAGAGGATGAGGTTTTTTTCTTTCTTATGTTTTTTTTCTTACTTTTGTCAATAAAAACATAGAAGCATTTTCCTTTTCTGAGCACAAAGGTTGTTATTTTTCATCTGGAGTGAATTTTTTCTGTATTGGTACTTGCTCAATGAAACTTGTTCCTGGGGGCTTTTATTTCATCTTTCTTTATCATACATATACATATATATGTATCTATCTATCTATCTATCTATCTATCTATCTATCTATCTAGATATAGATATAGATATAGATATAGATATAGATATAGATATAGATATAGATATATAGATATAGATATAATGTATATATACATACATTTATATACACATTTAATATATATATATGTATAGTGTGTGTGTGTGTGTCAGTGTGTGTGTCTGTGTGTGTGTGTCTGTGTACATATACATGGACACTTGTGGAATTGATGAGACAAGTGGTTAGTGGTAACCAGAATGTGTGTCTATGAGTGTATGTGTGTCTGTGCATATTGCCTTTGTAAGAGATTTTCTTTCTGCATGCCTGACATTCTTTTCCTGGCTCTCAAGGCATTAAGAAACTCCAAATCTCTTACCTGAACAATGAGAGGACTTATGGAGAAAGAACAGAGAGCCAGAATAATCGAATCTTTATTTACCCTCCACCCCAACTACACTGCAGATGTTAATTGCCTGAAGCCAGCAGTTTCTGGCTCCAGAATAAAAGAGAGTTAAGAAAGGTAAATAAATACTCTTCATAGTAAACTACTTTTACTCACACAAAACCAATTTTTGCCTCGCTCAAACTGCCAATGCTACACCCCCAGTGGCTGCTCTCCAGAGAGAGAACAGGTGCCAGATAGGCTCCCAGCAATGGAGTCAGTGTCGACTTGACAGTATCTAAGTTAGTGCTAGAGAGAATGGCAGGTCTTAATTATCTGAGGCCACACATCTGACCTAGAAGAGAGTTCTTACCTCTTCGCTTCTCCATATGTTGAACATATATGTGTACCTCCCAGGATATCCCACGAGCTTCCCTTTAAAGAAGGCCACATAGAAGCAAGATGAGTAATAGTTCACAAACTGGAAGAGAAACATCTTCAGAGTGAGGCTGCTCTCATACTCCTGGTGAGTTCGAGGTATCTCTGCCAATAATAACCATCAAGGATAAATGCATTTCCCTGAATGCTAAACTTAGAATGCTATTCCTACCATTTAAAAATTTGTGAAAATGCTCTTAACTCTGACCTCAGTTGATCAATATTAAAGAGTTCTGTGTTTGTCCTGGCTTTCTGTTGGTCATAATGTATTGATCCCACAGCTGTGAAAATCTAGGGGAGCAGTCACTACATTTCAATGGTGGGAATTTCTGTAGGAATAAGACTGAATGTGCAATTTGAATGCCTATAAGATTGGAAGTACCGGTCCCCATCACTGCTAGACACTACAGATAATCCCATCATGCTTATCTCCCCTTTACCCACGGTCAAGCAGGTTGAAACCAGGTTAGCTTATGCCAAGGGCTAAGATGTTTCTAACTACATTATACTTTCCTCTCATGAACTTAACTGTAAGGCAAATGCTGGCAGAGGTAGCATGTGCTTTCTCTCCCCTTCGCTAAAAATGCAATCATAGTTTGTAATTTAATGAATTCTAAAGATAAGAAAATATTAGATTCTTTCCCAAGCCTGCTAGAACACTGTGAAGAGCCCAATGAGTAAGGGAACACACTTAATTTCATAAGTTGATAATTTCTCAGTAAAACAGCTGACCCAGATACTCCCAATGACACTTTCAGAAGTAGGAAAAAATAATTTTAAGGACACAATATCTTCCATTTTGATGAAGCTCACTTGCGTTCATTGCAAATGCCTCTGATAGGAGGACAGGAATGCTTTTCACTAAAGAAATCCATGACTTCTTGGTATCTTTAAGAACAGTTTATTTGCTATGATTTATTCTCTTGGTTTTGCCTAGAGAATGTAAACTTGACTTAGAACTCAAAATTTCAAGATGATGCAAGGACTACTTCAAAACAGTGCTTGCCTAGTGTTCTTCCCCCTCTATGTAGAGCAGTGGAATGAACACAGAGCCTGGGTAGGGTCGCAAGGAGTGCTGTGAGAAGGGATGCCCTTGTCTGTTAAGTGGCTAACCTTGTCTATCGCTAACTTGAATCGATGCTCTTTTCAGCACTCCTTTCTCAAATCCTAGCTTTAACCTACAACTCCACCATCTTCCCCTTTGAGGAGAAAATTTAAAACTTCAACAAGAAAATAATCTACTTTGCAACAGATGCTGCCTAAACAGACAAGTACCATGTTCTAGATCCAAGAAAGAGGGGACTGATGCAGTGTCTTGCTTTTGTTATTTATTTTCGTATTTCATAATGAATTCCAGAAGCAAATACCTTTCAAGTACAGGGAAAAAAACTCATGATTTTAGTACAGTGTAGATTCTGACCAGGGTTCAGCTAGGTCCACCCAGGGAATACTGTGATAAGAGTCCTCAAAAAATGGCCAAGGAGTCCTGAATTCTTTAAGAGTTTTCTTGCTTCCAATATGAAATAACTGAATGTGAATCTTAAGGAATTTGTAAAAATCAGGTGTGGATTTACTTAGAGCACAAAACAGCCTGATAATTGATCCCTTCAAATGTCAACAATGTGAAAGAGGGTTCGAAGATGGAGATGCAATGTTGGCTGCAACCCATATCCAAATCACTCTTCATAATTTGCTCAGCTTACCCATTTTCGTAATCCAGTTAGATATCCTTTCATAAAAAAAATTCAGTATCAAGATGACCATGCAGTTCAGGCATGATGCAGAGAGAGCAGTGGCCAGCTGCGGGGTAAAGAAGCTTTTCACGTTCTGCAGGGTGGCTTCGCTTTCCATGAAGCTGGCAAAAGTAGCAAAGACTGACAGGCGGTAGACAATGATGGACACCATGCTGCTGAGGAGGAGAGCCATCTGAGGGGAGAGCCAAGACTCACTGGGTATGCCATTTTCCCATTTTGTTATATTTGCATAGCAGCACCTTGGGCAAAGCAATTTTTCTTACCATAGAGGCAACAGATAGGCCATTGGCAAGGTGGAAGGCTTAACCATTTGGTGGCTATGAGTTCAACATAAAATAGGGAAAAACTGTGATGGATCATATTGTCAGGTTGACAGGAGACAAGCCTCTGGACTGTTGGTGGGTTTATCTAGATTAAGTTAATTGAGGTGGAAAGAACCATTTTAACTGTGGGTTACACCACTCCATGGGCCTGAGATCTGGGCAGAAATATAAAAGGAAAAGTGAACTGAGTGCCAGCATCTATCTCTTTTTGCTTTGTGGCTGTACATGCAACGTGACCTGCTTCCGCATGCTCCCATTGCCACACATGCTGTGCTGTGCTGGTGTATGTCCTGGAACCATGAACTAAAATAAAAACAAACTCCTCCCTTCAGTTGATTCTTGTCAGTTACTTCATAGCAATATGAGAGGTGACTACAATTCATCTTTTTTATTCATTTTCTCATAGTGTTTACAAATGACAACCATATCTGTAAATCTTACCCCAGTCTGCTATGTTTTGATGTAGCTTTTGAAGTCAATTTATGATCTATCATTTATCCTTTGTCTGTCTGTCTATCTATCTATCTATCTATCTATCTATCTATCTATCTATCATCTGTCTATCTGTCTATCTGCTTGTTTCTATGTCTGTCTGTCAGTCATCTATCTACCCTTCATGTATCTATCTGTCTATCTATTATCTATCTATCTATCTATCTATCTATCTATTATCTATCTAGATTATTTTTATCAATATAAATTATCTCTTAAGGTTTTAAAGAAAATAAAAATAATCCTTTCAGGGAACATCTGCCAGAACTCTAGGCTTTAGTGACACTGTATACATTGTACATTGCAAAGCAGCTCCATATGAATTCAGTGACTGAGAAACTCTATTCCAAAGTTGAGGAAGCAAATCAAATTGACTGATAAGTAGAAAAACAGAACAACCATTCTAGGACCATGCTTCCTAGTTAATTTATCAGAATTGAGCCTGTGGTGCCCTGTCCGTGCCCATTTTTATTCATTTTTTCCTCTAAAAGTTGTTATATAAGCTAAAAGGTATATGCCAGCCAACTCTTTCAAGATATAAAAATATTTTATATCTTGTTTAAAAGTATAGTGTATATACAATGGAAAAGTTGAAAAAACAGTCTACAATATTTAATTTGTAGTTTAATAGTTTTCACCTCCAATTAAGATTCTCTCACCCTTATTTCCCAAATTAAAGGCTAACTGTAGAGCATTCCCAAATTAGGAAGGGGAAGGAAATGAAAAAATCATGTTGGCAAATTAATGTATTACCTATAGATGTGGAGAGAAACCCACTGCCTCACCACAGGAGTTGTCTTCCTCAGATTTTAGTTTGCTTATTTCAACAAGGAAAAAGAAGTTTCATAGTTTAATTGCTCAATCACATGTATAGATACTTTAAGGGAAATAAAGGCCAATGAATGATGTTGATAACACTAACCAGAAACTGTAAGATGAATGTGACACTTTTCTTCGGTTTCAAGGTATCAGTCAATCAGACATACAGGAAAGGGCTGTGAAGTCAGGGATTTCCACCCTTCCCCCATATCTTTCTATAAATTTCAATATTGGGAAAAATCTATGTAAATTATGGCATGCTTTGTATAAGAGGTATAGGCAATGTAGGAAAAATGGACCATTGTAGGAATGATCTGAGAACTGATACAGAGAGAGCTGTGGCGATAACTGTGGTCCATGGATGACTATGTTTATAGAAGTAATAAAGGATTCCAAAACGCTGCTTACCCCGAAGGTCACCGTGGTCCCTGACACAAAGTACCATGGGATGCGGTGGCACAGAGGCATGTGTGGCTCCATTTCCTGTAATATTAGAAAAATGACAAAGTAATCCTTTGTTCTCACAGTTGAGACTCCAAATGACAGTAGGAATATCAAGGAGTATGTTGAAGGTAGGGTCCACATAATTGGCTCTCTGGTCACATAGCTCATGGAAAGTGATACCTTCCCTTGAATAGAAGGCCATTAGACCACAAGAGACATTCCACCTAAGATAAAAGAGATAATTGAGGCAACCTGCTTCCTAAGTGCTAGGTTGCAGTGGCCTCCAGAGCCTGACAGAGAAGAGACAAAGCCCAGCTCTAGCCACTGAGATACAGTGAGACTCAATTTAATTTTTCTGCAGTGTCCCCTACTTGCTTTATAGCATATGAAGTCCCCAAACAATAGGTCAGGCTTTTCTACCTCAGTCATCATAGATGACTGAACGCTTAGTCTCTAGCCGATGACACTGTATGGAACCTGTAGGAGGTGTAATCTTGCTGGAGGAATTATATCAGTGTGAGAATCTTGGAGTATCTTTAGGCTAACTCCACTTTCTGTTTTCTCTCTGTCTCTCTCTCTCTCTCTCTCTCTCTCTCTCTCTCTCTCTCTCTCTCTGTCTCTCTCTCTCTCTGTCTCTCACTCTCTTTCTCTCACCCCCTGCTTCCTGGGTATGGATGATTATGATCTTTAGATTCATGATTTAGCTACTGTGTGTTTCCTGACCTCATGGATTTTCCCTTTGTCACCCAAGCAAAAACTAAACTCTTCTATAGGTTGCATTTGGCTATTGTATTTTATCATAGCAACAACAATAAATAGTAAGTCACACAACACCCAGAATAACCCGATGTTATACATACTGGACATTTTTTGTGATATTTCAATAAAATTTAGGAGATATTTGGCAAATTCTTAAAGTGTGAAAAGAATTTTGGAAGTTACACTACAATGGTGCCCTTAAGAAAAGAGGAGTGTCTACAGAGGATATGGAATCTGAGGTGGGGTACGTTGTCTTTCTTATAGCAATTTGGGGATCCTAGCCGATGTAGCTAACATTCTGGCTTCTGGAAGCAAAGAATTTTCTACCCTCACACAAGAACAGTGAACTTACACAAAGCGTAAAGCCTCAGTCAGGAATACACAGCCAGTTTTATGGTTCATGAATTGAAAACTAGAACTTTCTTAGCTCCAAGGAAGTGACTTTTCCATGGCAATCAATGCAAAGGCACCACACAAAGAGAAATTTGATTAAATAAAGTCTTCACTCTTACATCCCTATCTTTATACATTTACTGTTTAAGCTGAACACATCATCTCACTTCCATTCACATTAGCTTCTATTTCCCTTTTTATCATCTAGTAGTAAAATCACCTACGCAGTGTTCTGACATACTGGATTTGCTTTAAAAGTAATCTCGGGAAAGGATAGTATATAGATACATGTGACAAAATGCTGTCCATGAGGTGAACATGCAGTGTTGGGTAGCAGGTCCACCCATGGGTTTAATGATAGCTTTCTATTTGTCAATGTGTTTGAACATTTTCATATATATGAAAAACACAGGAATTTTATGAATTCATTTGTTTGCTGATGGAACACCATTCTAGGGCAGCCAATAACAGAGGGTCTACTAGGGCAAATTCCTGCACCATATCTATTGTACCTTTGTCACAGGATTCATCTTCTTGTGTTTACACATAGCTTCGAATTCAGGCCGCAGCTGGTGCTGTTGCTGCTGTTCCTCAAAGTCCACCAGATCCCACTCATACTCAAGCCTGGCTTGCCGCTGTTTCCAAAACTCCAGAAACAGTGTGACTTCAGGGGAGGAAAGTATCGGTAAAGGCATCAATAGTTGCACAAACAAAAATAGCAAGACAGCAACCCTAGTGACTGGAGTCGTGGTTTGCAATTTAGAGAGCCTGCTGCTCAAGCAGAGGATTCAAGTTCAGTCCACAACACCTCCATCTGGAGGCTCACAACATCCATTAACTCGAACTCCATGAGATTCAATGCCACTTCTCACTTCATTGGGCACCTGATGTCATGTACACACATGTGCGCATATGCACATATGCACACAGAATTGAAAATAATAAAAATAAATCTTAAAACAGAAACTTTCACTTCTTTTGTCAATTGCTTTGTTTGCAAAGCAGTTCACAAGTTGTCAGTTGGAAATGGCACTTGCTTTTAATGCTGTGTTTATCAGTGACTACTGATTTTAGCATTAAATAATAATGAATAAATTAAGAAAATTAAGAAAATCCAAGTTAATTTCTTAATAGTTAAAGCTTTAAATTTCCAGATCATCTATCTATTCCCTCATTCTGTCATAATATTTCATCTTGACATTAGCTAAACACTAACAATTGGTATAACTTTTAGAAACAGAATTTGGTGACTCTTAGGCTCACTGAACAGTTATACTCCTCTCATGTCAAGATTGTTAATCTAAGGAAATATTAAGAAAACTAGATAACACAGATGGGGACAAAAGATGTCACATCATGGAAAAAGCAAAAGTGTATTACATGAAAATAGAAAAGATACAGTCTAACACCCAAACTACTTTTATGATTTCTATGGGTTTCTTGAGACTACATAAATCCACAAGAATCTCAAGATTTGAATATCATTGAAAAGAAATTTCTGTAATATATAGAGATTCTTTGCTTGAGCATTTTAGATTGAACTTAAATGAGATTTAAGTACAAGAAAGAGAACCGTTGGAGACACGTGGATGGTGAAAGCTGATCACAGACTGAAGGAGGAAGCAAGTTCAAAGGCCTGCTTTGGTTAGACTGAGTTCAAGAACAGCCTGAGAAACTTCCTGACTCAGTATAAAAAAGCAAAAAACAAGGTCCAGGGATGAAGTGTAGTTATAGACTCCTGCCTAGGATGCATGAGGAGCTAGGCTCAGTCCTTTCTGTGTATGTGTGTAAGGGGGGGAGCAAAAGAGGAGGAGGAAGAAGAAAAAGAAGAAGATGAAGAGGAAGAGAAAGAGGAAGAAGAGGAGGGAGGGGAGAGAAAGGGAAGAGAAATAGAAATAGAAAGCAAAAAAAGAAAGAAAGAGAAAGAAAACGAGGGGGTTGGGAGAGGACAGCATTGAAAATATATTTTAGCACACAATGAGTTCAACCTTGAAACTTTGGAAACTAAAGTCATGAAGATGCTTGTTCTGAGGTGACCATAGTCATGTGTACGTGCTTTGGGTTAAAGGCAATACATGGACACATTTTAAGCTCTGCATGTAGAACACTGTCTGCCCTAGAGTGGACACTGTAGAAGCTGACAAATCACAATCAAGACTGAGTGAAATGAAACGTCTATGTTTCTGACATAAATCATGTGTGGCTACACATCTTAGGTGAACTACATTAAAACACAGCTTAAGAAAAGTTAGAAAAAATGCTTATGATCAATCTGGTTACATAATAAAGGTTCTCCTGACCCCAACATAAGATCAAACGCAAATGGTAAGTTTAGAAATATCTGCAATATATGGTGCAAAGGATTCCTTTGCTTGTTACATAAGTGCTAGCAAAGAGTTACAACACTAAAACTGCTTCCAGTGACAAAGGAAGTCCAATGATTAGTGAATATCAAATAAACAAGATGAAAATTGTGCACATTAAAACCAGAATGAAATGACATCCTATCCATCAGACTACATATGACCAAAGAGCTTGTCAACCTTCTGGCATCGCTAGTGTTGAAAAATAAAACCAGAATGTACATAAAAGTCCAATTTTATATGTCACATAAATATGTAGCAAAGCTTTTAAGTTGTATGTATATATTTTCTTTGCAAATTTGCATGCTAAGAATTATTCTTAGAAGATTGTTGTATAAATATAAAAAAAATTCTTTCAGGAGCTGGGGATATAGTTCAATGTATAGAGTGTGGTCTAATATGCGTATGTCCCTGGGTTCTATCCCTAGAACCACATAATCTTGGTGTGATGGTAGACACTAGTAATCTTAGAATTTAGGAGGCAGAGACAGGAGGATCAGAAGTTCGAGGTCACCCTTAGCCATACAGAGAACTCAAGGCCAGCCTGCACTTTATGAGATCTTGTTGTAATAAAAGCAAAGTTTATTCCAGAGCTGTTTCTAGTTGTAAAAAGAAAAGCAACAACAATTGACCAAGTTATACAACAGATTAGACACAATGTGATAAATTCATGAAAGGTCATAATACAAAGAAAACTCCTTTGTAGGAGGCCTTGTACTCACCCCAGATCCCCATGAAGATCGCAAAGAACACAGTTGACTCATTATCAAACAAATGGGAGAACTGTAAAAGTAACATCACAATAGAAAAACAAAAACAAAAACACTTAATGTGAAACACATCCCCATAGAAAGGAGCTTCCAGTCTTCATCCCCTCCTAATTGCACATTTACCTTTGAATGAAGACATGTGGAATTCAGTCTCCAGTAATCACACACTTCATCACAAAGCGGGCACATGATCATCTGACCTCCGATGTTAGGATCACAGATTTCAGAGCTACCCAGAGAAGTCAGATAAAAAGCAATGTAGTTTAAAGGGAAAAATCTAATCAACTCTACAAAGACTGCTTAATAAACTTCCACTCACAACAAACATGGATATGAGGCAAATGTTTCTATAGTGGCTTAAGACATATTCTAGGAAATGGAGTCAGAGTACACTTTTTAAAACAGCCTGATATAGAAGACCTGAGCAGGATCAGGCCAGATAACCTCCCAGGCTGGATGGGGGATGAGGAGCCATGAGATCCTACCTCTGGCTGGAGAGCTATTGACAACTGACGACAGGTGCTAGGGAATGGAGAGTCAGATTTTTGGGGATATGTGGCACCTGAGAGGCCACATGCTTCAGTACGTGGTCATACACGCACGCACGTGAGGTCAACACCAACTGAACTGACAGGTTTCAAAATGAACACAGGAAATCAGGAAAGAAAATGCCAAAATATCGAGGAGGAACTGAAACAGGAGTGGGTTTCGTCAAACCGTGTATGACGTTTTCAAGCAATAAAAGAATAAATGAAGTTAAAAACCAAAACAATAAAAAGAGAGTTTCCATAAAGTCCCTGGCAAGGAGAATACTACCTGCTGCCACAGGATACATTTTGAGGGAAATAAGGGAAAAATAAGGAGGGTGCAGAAGCTGACACAGAGGCAGTCTCTATGAGTGTCAGTCTCTCATGCTCACCTAGTTCGGTTATCTTCCATCGATAACAAGCCGTAGATGAAGCAGGCTAAGCCAACCAGAGCTGCAAACAACAGCATTTCTGTGTAATACCCGAGAAATACAAAATAGATACCGATTTTTTCTCCATAATAATTCCTGCGATAGAGAGTCAAAGTCAGAGGCTGGGAGACAACCGAGGGTCACCTGGGGCTGGCTCTACTTTGGCAGGCAAAGTTCACAGTAGTAGTGCTTCAAAGAAATAGCCCTTGTAAGAAGAAAGCCACTCTAATAGAATTTAAACGCTAAATAATATCATATTGAGAACTTATGAATTTTAAGTTTAAGTGTTTTACTTAAGTTACTGGATAATAAACAAACAAACAAACAAACAAATAAATGCCAAAGTGTCAAATGAAGAAATGTAACTGGTAGCCATTGGCAAGTTAAAGTGGCATGCATAATCTGCATGAACGTTTGTCTTGCTTCTTTTCTGCAGTTGAAGTGGGTGCTGCAGTGACACTCAGATATGGCTGCAACCCTTGCACCACAGAGTGGAGAAGTTTACAGTGTGGTCCCTCAGATCTGTTTGTACTCCTTGGCAGGTTTAATTGAGTCCACCCTCAGGGACCTGAGACACACTGTCCCTGCCTCAGGTAACTCAGCATCAGTTCTGTGACCTTCCAGAGGCTTCTGACATGGGCAGACTTGACCCCACTGAGGGTCTGAAAGTTTACAATTTAATACTTTGAGAACTATAGAAACCTGCAGTTTTCAAGTTTGCCCTGGGAGGAGACAGCGATGAATCAACAAATGGGCAGAGTGCTCATATCCCACACAGAGCATTTTTCAATGGATTTTAAGTAGCTTTCTCACGCCACAGTTTAGTTCTTCAGCTTTTGAAACCTTTGCAACTAAATAGGTGTCTTTCTGTGTGTCTTCTGTTTTCTTTTTAATATTGATAAACATTTATGCAGCTTTGCTTTTTATTTTCCTACAGTGTCATCACAGTCCCTAAGCTATCCACTGCCGACAGCTTCCCTGCAGTACTTGTGAATGAACCTGCATCTCTCTGAGAGTTTACTAAGAAACAAAAACTTTCTATAATGCTACACAACACTAACCTTATCAAAAGATACTAATATTCTTTTTCTCTCTTTTTTTCTCTTTCCTCTTATGAGATAGTCTCACTCTGTAACCTAGACTAGCTTTGGACTCTTAGCAAACCTCCTGCTTCAGGCTCCCCTGCACTCTATCTAAGTACTAAATATTTTCTTTTTTACATATTGTATTTAGCCACTTGAAAGTATACAGTATCCATTTTAGACGGTATAGCAAGTGCCCTGCTGCCACAGGTACACATATTCTCAGGAATTCATGAGGAAATTTAGTTTTCTGCTTCTTTGGTTTTTCCTTCTTTGGAATTCCTTTTTTTCTGTTTTTCTATTTTATTTTATTGGAAATTGATGGTTTTCTCTCATAGCACATTGTGATTATGGTTCCCCTCCTCCAACTCCTCCTAGATACTCCCAATTGCCATATGCAATCAAATACACAAACCTGCTCTCTAGAATACAAACAAGCATCTAAATAATAATAATGATAATAATAATAATAATAATAATACAAGAAAAATAAAAATAGACAAACCAGAATAAGACAAAGTAAACAGGCAAAAGAGCCAAAGAAAAAACACAAGAAACACATATAAATGCTGAGACCCACACATTCACACAGAAAACTCACAAAAACAAAATAAAAAAAAACTATAATATATAACCAAAATATCTGTAAGGCAAAATAGGAATAAATAAATAACAATGAAAAATGCTGACAAAGCACTGTGGGGCCCAAAATTTCCAAAAGTACCTTACAGCATGTTTTGTGTGGTCCATCTACTGCAGGACTGGAGACCTGCCTTAAGTGTGGTTTGTGTATTGTCTTAGTTAAGGTTTTACTCCTGTGAGCAGACACCATGACCAAGGCAACTCTTATAAGGACAACATTTAATTGAGGATGACTTACAGGTTCAAAGGTTCAGTTTATTACCATCAAGGAGGGAGCATGGCAGCATCCAGGCATGCCCATGCAGGAGGTGCTGAGAGTTCTACATCTTCATCTGAAGGCTGCTGGCAGAATACTGGCTTCCAGGCAGTATTATAAGGGTCTAAAGCCCACACTCACAGTGACACACCTACTACAACAGGTCCACACTTTCAAATAGTGTTATTCCCTGGGCCAAGCATATACAAATCATCACATGTACCAAGTGAGACTCTGTTGGAGAAAACTAATTTTTCCTTTGGGAATGGCCATCAATTGAATACAGCTTCTGGAATAGGGATGAGGGCTTGTATCTACTTTCTCTCTCGATGCTTGGATTCCATCTGGTGCGCACCTATATAGGCCCTGACCATGCTGCCATAGTCTCCATGAGTTTATACATGCATTCATCCTGCTGTGTTTAGAAACTCTTGTTTACTTGGTGTCCTCCATCACCTCCAACTCTTAAAAATCTTCCTGTTTCTTCTTTTGCAGGGTTCCCTGAGCCCTGAGGGGAGGGATTGGATGGAGACATTCCATTTAGGACTAAATGTTTAAAGATTGTTTTGAGTCTGTATTTGTTCTCATCTACAGTGGAAGGAAGCTTCTTGGATGATGGCAGATCAAGACAATGATCTATGAATATAGCAGAAAGTTGTTAAAAGTCATTTTATTGCTGTTTCTTCAGATTTCCCATAGGCTTATGACCTATCTAGTCCCAGGCTCTTGACCACCTAGGTCACTCTTGGGTTCCCTCTCATGGAATGGACTCTAACTGCAATCAGATCATGATTGGTTAGTTTGACAACATTGATGCATGGTTTTTAAATGACTACTTTCATCTCCCTTTCAAATTTCAAGAATAATTTTCCTTAATACTATGAAGCTAAAAGGACTGGAGGGGTATAATTATTATTAAAATAGTCTCAATGTGGATAATTGTTGAGCCATCTCCTAAATGGGACCAAATGAGAATTTATTATGTTTATAAAATAAGAAAGCATATTGTCTTAGTTAGGGTCTTATTGTTAAGAAGAGACACTATGTCCAAGGCAACTCTTATAAAGACTAACATTTAATCAAGGCTGGCTTATAGTTTCAGAGGTTCATTCAATTATCATAATGGTGGGAAGCATGGCAGCATGTAGGCAGCCACGGTGCTGGAGGAACTGGAAGTTCTATATCTTGATCTGAAGGCAGTCAAGAGAAGAAAGTTTTCTGAAGGCAGTCACGGGGAGACTTTACTTTGAAGGCAGCCAGGAAGAGGCTCTCTTCCATACTTGGCATAGGAAACCTCAAAGCCCAGCCACACCATGACACACTTCTTCCAACAAGGCCACATGTCCTCTAATAAGGATACATCATCTAATAGTGCCAGTCCCTATGGCCAAGTTTTCAAACATGATTCTGTGGTGGCCAAACCTGTTCAAACCACCACATTCAACTCCCTTGCCCCCATAGGCTTGTAGTTATAATATAATGCAAAATGCATGCATTCCAATTTCAAAAGTCTCCATAGTCTATCAGTCTCAACAAACTTTAAAAGTCTAAGGCTTAAAGTCTCTTCTCAGATTTATGCTCTCTCTTAACTGTAATCCTTTATAAAATCAAAATAAAAAAGCAGATTATATACTTCCAAAATCATAGGATATACATGACTATTTCAAAATGTCATAGTGAGGAAATACTAGACCAAAGCAACATCTACAACCAGCTGGGCAAACTTTGAGCTCTGCATCTCCATGTCTGATGTCCAACTACTTTCATCTTTGTTGACTGCAACAAACTCCTTTATCTTGGGCTGGTTCCACTCCCTGTTAGCTGTTTTCCTTTGCAGGTATACAACTGCTCTGATATTTCTAATATTTTGGGGTCTCCAAGGCAACTTCAACTTCATAGCTTCTTGTTCCAATGCCTAGGATTTTCTGGGCTCCTCCAAAGGGTTTTGGTTACTTCTCAAGCTCTGCTCTCTGTAGCACTCTAGGATCTAATTAGACTCCACTCCACTGCTGCTGCTGTACTTGGTGGTCATCCCATGGTACTGGCATTTCCAATATGCTGGAGTCTTCTGCTCCAAGTAGGCTGCACTTTGAACAATAGCCTCTCATTGGTTCTCTTCATGGTGCCAAGCCTCAACTTCATTGCATGACTTGTTCAGTCCTAGCAGCCTTCAACTGTCACTGGGGCTACACTTTCTCTAATGGCCTTCCTTGACCTCTCACAGTGACAAGTCTCAGCTGCTCTCTATGATATCTTCATGCCTTCCGTACTAATTCTACCTGGGTGACTCTTACAACTTACCAAGTCCAGCTGGAGCACAAAGTACAGCCTCAGCTATCTCTGGAACACAGAGCTTCTTTGTGCTCCGAGAAAACACTACCCAGACTTCACCTCAGTGATGCTAGCGCTTCTTTTAGTCACTATTATTTTCTTATCTCCAGCTAACCACCATCAATTGTCTCAGCAATCCTTTTTATTCTTAACTTTAAAGCCAGAGAAATGTAGCGAAAGCTGTCAAGTTCTCCTGTTTGCTGGGGCTAGAACATACCCCATCCATCTTACTCAGAGATCATCATGCCTCTCTCTCCTGAGGAATGATGGATTAAATGTGCACACCTAGACCTAGACTTTTCTTTACCTGGAACTTGCTCTGTACCAGTCTTGCCTTGAACTCAGAGATCTGCTTGACTGTCTCCTGAGATTAAAGGTATGTACCGCTACGCCTGGACCTAAGTTTTTCTTTAATTCCTTTTCACAAGATCATTACATGCATTACCACTATGCCTCAAGATCTTGATCACAGGAGTACCCTCTGTTTCTGGATTGTGGTTCATTCCAGATATAGTCAAGTTGACAATTTAGAATAACCATTACAATCCATTCCTTGTCAATTTGACACACAATTTTATCTCCTTATATCCAAATGAAAACAATAACCAGGTTATAATAAAACCTAGTATGATATAACTAACTCTTGTTCAACTGCAAATGCCTAAACAACAAGGTTCACTAGGTGGGACCTTGCCCAAGATTACCAGTCCCTTAATCTGTTTATCTCTTTGACACAGGACTTAGCTCCATTCTACTTCCTGGTGTCCCTTTAATCTTTGAACCATACATTTTGTATTTTTCCTTTCTCATTTTGCTACATCTGATCAGAATTATCTTTATAAGAGTGAACCACAGATCAGAGCCTATGCTAGGCTGTTTTGATATTTCCGTTCTCAGTGCAATTAATCTAAATCTCTTCAATTTAGCCTTAGAGCAGACTCTTCAGACAAGGGTAAAATGCAGCCATGGTCTTCACCAAAATATCACAAGAACAATTTCTAAACAACGTAATAAAACTCTTCTCCTCTGAAACTTTTTAAGCTAGGCCTCAGATTTCAAAACCTCTGCTCCAATGTCTTCCATATTCCTACTAGGATGTCTCATTAAGATCCACTTAAAGCATTCCACTTCTCTCCAAATTCAAAGTCCCAAATCCACATTCCTCCACACAAGAACATGGTCAGACCTATCAGAGAAATACTCAATTCCTGGTACCAACCTCTGTCTTAAGGTTTTATTGCTGTTGAAGAGACACCATGACCAAGGCAATTCTTAAAAATCTAAACATTTAATTGGTGCTGGCTTACAGTTTCAGAGATTTATTTTATTATCTTCCTTATGGGAAGCATGGCAGTATGCAGGCAGACATGGTGCTGGAGGAACTGAGGGTTCTACATCTTGATCTGAAGGCAGCCAGGAGAAAACAGTATTTTGCAGGTAGTCAGGATGAGGTTTTCTTCTGTACTGGGTGGAACCTGATCATAGGAGACCTCAAAGCCCACCTACATAGTGACAAACTTCCTCCAACAAAGTTACACCTCCTCCACTAAGTCCACTCCTCCTAATAATGCCACTCCCTATGTTTGTGCAATGCTCATGGAAGCCAGAAGACGACACTGGACACCCTCAGCTGAAGTTACAGGTGGTTATTCCCCGTACCCACTCAGATGTGAGTGCTAGAGACTGAACTTGTGTCCTTAAAACTAAACGTGTGTCCTCAGAAAAACAAGCAGGTACCTTTAACTGCTGAACCCAGTTTCCAATGTTGTGTTGACACAGGATCTCACAAAGTTATTATATAATATGTGACTTATTTATACAATGCCAGTTCTTAGATGTCTCATTGTTTCCAATCTTTTTATTACCAACTAAGTTTCTTTGAATACTCAAATGATGATAAAAAAATGATTCATTTTTTCCTGGTTAAACACTTGTGAACAGAAATGCTGGATCATTCAAAAAGAATGCATTTGACTTCATAAGAAACTAACAGTATACTGGGACATGCATTCCCACCAATGGTGTTTAGAATTTGAAAAGGCAGTCTGCCTTGCTTTAAGATGGCTTCTTGTGTGGCCTTTGATTTTACATTGGGTAGTAGAAGTGTGGTGCCACCTCAATGACATTGTGTTTCTGTTTCCCTGTGGATAACTATGAATGGGTTCCTCATGAAGTGCTCTCATCCATAGGTATAACTCTCTGGTGAAGTACCTGCTATACACTTTTGTCAGTTTCTCCGTTACCACATGAGTCCCTCCTATATTCTAGAAGAATGTCTTTCACTGATATGTTTATTTCACATAGTTTTTGTTGTGGTATACTATGTCTTTAATAAAATGGACTCCTTATCTTGTTTGTTGGGTCTGATCTGAGAATTTTACTCTGATATCTATTCCTCTTATGTATCTACATTTATATTTTTGGACCAGAAAGGGTCCAGATATACAACTTGCACATGGTCATCCCCTATGCCAGCTTCATTTATTCTCATAAATGCCTTTACTCACACAAATGCCTTTTCCCACATGGGCTTCTCAGGTGAAAATCAAGTCATTGTAAAAACATGTAAAAATATGAGTTTATTCATAAGCGCTCTCTCTCTCTCTCTCTCTCTCTCTCTCTCTCTCTCTCTCTCTTTCTCTCTTAAATTATAATACTCATTGGGAAACAACTTAAAATACACAAAAAGTTGTAAGAATAATTTAAAAAATCCACATGTACCCTTTGAGTCTATTATTTACTGCACATTGATGATATGTGTGTTTTTAAAAAAATGAGATCATAGAACAAAGAGCTTTACAGATCTCTTGAGATCAGCACACCAACATTCACAGGTCAGTTTCTCCTGTACTCTACCTTTTTCTGCTCTGAAGTAAGAGAAAATTGTTATAGGTACTTGAACTAAAATGTAAAGCAATCACATTGAGTTTCAAAGGAAAAGAAAGCGCCATTTCCATGTTCAAGATGACCCACACAGCATTTCAGTGCCATGACCAAGTGTATGGCATGTGTGCTAGACAAGAATTAGGCTGTTCCAGCCTAGCTAAGTGCTAGGTCCTGACACTTGCTGCATCCTTCCTCTCATAGATCACGGCAACAACTATCTGCTTCCAAATGAACAAGTAGCAGTAAAGAGAGAGGCTGTGAAACATAGTGAGTCCCAAGGGCAGTGAACATAGGAGCCTGCCGTAGACCTGTGAACAAAGACCATATGATCGATTTTAAAGGTCACAGAGCTGAATGAACTTACCGAATCAAATTAAAAGGTTGCTCCTTATAAAAGTAGGAAAATCGAGCCCAGTTCTTACAAAGGATGTACCTTTCATTCATGCGAGCAGTTTTTGATGGCTTCCAATATTGACTCTGCTCACAGTCAAGGAGATGGTAAGAGGAGAAAGCAAGAGACACCAATGATTAACAGAGGGAGGGGAGCTCTCTGGACAGGTGGTCAGTGGGCAAAGTTCATACCATCATTTACTGATAGATTTCTGATTCATTTTCCACTCACACAAAATCATTTACTACAGTTATCAAAACCACACTCAGGGTGATTTATTAAGTTGATCTAGGAAGCAAATTGCCACTTACACAGTAACTATTTAACCTATTAAAAATATGTGGACATGAAAACTGCTGAGGCAGTGTGGAGTGAGTACTCAGCTTCAAGTTTAATGCAAGTGAAAATGATGATAACGTGATAATATAATATAATCTGATATTTTATGTCATACTAATTCAAGCTTTTTGTTGTTCTCTAGGAAACATGGCTGTTGTTTGAGAAATAAAACACTAGGGTAGCATTTGGGGTTGGCATAAAACATCACTCTAAAAAACACACAAAAGAAAATTCTTCACTTTAAAATTTTCCTTCAAAACAGATGTCAAAGATTGTGAAACACTGCTGCTTCTAAAGACCACTTGGTACCACTCATTCTCAGTGAATAGCGAAGGCTATGTTGAAAGGCTGAATGTACAGATGAAAATATCTGGGGGCCAGGGCAGGTGTTGACCTTAGAAGAGGGCAATAGGTTAAGAGAATCAGTGCCCTACAGGTAAATATAAAAACAAAAATCCTCAGAGTCTTCAAAATACCACTTCTATGAAGTGTAAAAAAGGAAAAAAAAATCACCTTTGTAATGAAAGATTGGCAAAGAATGCCTAACAAAATGTGTACTAACCTATCCAGACCCTTCCATGTTATGCTCACACGGTTCTTCATCCACAGGATGAAAAATATGGACATTTTGTGGTGGAGGTATTAGAGGAGGGTAGGCAGCTTCTCCACCCTTCCGTTAAGGGGTCACATGTCAGTTGAAAGAGGGAAACTTTTATATGAAATTGGTACTGTAACCTACAGGAAACAGGTCACAGTCAACCTTGTGGAGCCATCTTAAAGTCATATTTTACAGTATTTATTGGTCTGTTCCAGTTTAATTCATGTGAAGTTTGGCTATAGGATTTAAAAATCACTTCTAATTCTAGAGATGGAAAGGATGGGGACTCAGATGGGAGGAAAGATTGGAAGGATCTCAGAGGACTTTGGGGAAGGGAAACTATAATCAGAATATAGTGTATAAAAATCTATTTTCAATAAAAAAATAGACAAAATATCACTTTAGCATTGTAACTGTCAAACCATCAGCACTCAAAATAGAGAAAAAGGTTTCTCATTTGTTCCGATAGAAATATTTGTTTCTTCTCTGCCCTGAGGGATGCATTTCTTGCAGGAAACACGTCATATACAAGTCTTTTACAGCCAGGACAGAGTGCTATTGAAACAGAAGCAATGAGATCCAAAAGATGGTCTCAATGCAGTGAATGGACATCTCCAGCTGCACGATTTCTACCACTAAGCTACAGGGAAGCTTAACCACTGAAATGGAGACATTTCTCTGGAAAGCCCTAGGGTTCCTAGCTATTTTCAGGTTTGACTAACTGGACTCAACATCCAAGCAGTCACTTCTTTGAGAAACACATAGGGCTCAATATTTTAGTACAATGAGTTATCTATCCCAAAGAAAATGTCTTTGGAATTTTGGTTGTTGGTGAAGATACTTCAAATGACTGATGTCCTAGGCACCCAGGGCACCTGTACATCTGCCACCACGTTTCTAGGGAATCTATGGCCTCTGAGCTTGGATTCATTGCTGTGTGAAAGTTAACACCCCATAAAGTGCTTTCCATGTGTTCTACATTTGGTGGATAAATGAGTGGACTTATTCTTTAAAAAGTTTACAGTCTATAAGAAAAGACATAGAAATTTCTGAGTAATATGCCACCTATTTTTTAAAATGGACCCTAAAGAAAATAGTATGTGCAAATAGAAATTGCAGTTAACAAGACTCCGTTTGTAATGTCGGCATGGCTTTTTGTCCTGGGCTTAGCAGTCAATCCACCCAAGCTGGTCCCCACTGCCCAGCCACGCTGTTGCCTCAGACAGAAGTGCAGGTTGAAAACTATGAAGTAGTCTTACATGTAGTGACTAGGTTTGCCTGTATCCCACCTTAAGATTATTGTTGCTGAAGTAGGTGAAGTCCATTTTACAGATAAAGAATGGGGGCCATGTGAGTGTATCTTTGAATTGCTTTGTAGTAATTGATTGCACTGAAGATAATTTCCTAACAATTTTATCAATGTATTTGGATCCTGTAAACCCCCACCTTTTTGTATGTTTGGCTGTCCTGGAATCAGATCCACCTGGCTATGACATATTGAAGGCTTTAAAGGTGCAAATGAAAAGGGGATTTTAAGGAAGTACATGCTAGGACATTAGAATATGCTTGTATCTGGCCTGCGTGCTAGGACAAGTTCTTTGCAAATAACCAGTCGTGTGCTAGCAGTCAAGGTGTTTTAATATGTGCACTGTTGCCTATGAGTAATTATTTTTCCATAGTCTTAAATACTTTTCCTGTGTCAGTCCCAATAAAAAACAAGACAAAAAAAGAAAGAGAAAAAAGAAAGAAGAAAAAGAAAAAAATGTCAACATGAAGAGTCCTTGAGTGTACCTTAGCCTTCTTTGCAGATTCGATATTTAGGCTGGAAATTCTCCCATCGCAAAAAAGAATTAAGTAATTCATTAGAAAATGGAAAGAAACTATCTAATTGTTCTTCTCTCCAGGGAGGCAATCTCCAACTGTGAGAGAGGAGATGGGCTCTGCATTATGGGGTCTCTGATACTCACATCATGGAGCGGGTAGGCAGATAAATAAGTGCTCGAGTTCAGCAGTCTTTCAATCCCAATCTTTTTCTTCCCTTCTTCTACTCCAAAAGGGCATCTTGACAGAATGTAGTAAACCTGCAAGGTAAGTACGCAAAGACCTTGGTGCATTAACTGTATGAGGTAATCACGCAAGGACTCAGCACACCAAACCTGAGTGTAAAGAGACCTCAGCACCTTGTGGCCTTTCATGCTTTTCCACATTTTGAAAACCGAAAGAGAACAGCATCTATTCTGAAGGGATGTGGGTTCTAATGACTGGGGAATGCTTGCATTCTTGGGTCGTGAGAAGAAATAGATTGAAGAATTATATAGAATTGTCAGGTTTTTCTTTTGTAGATTCTGACAATACCCCACTGCCTTGCTGGAGGCCATGGGTGGATCAATTATCATTTATTTTTCTTCATTTGTCTCAAATTTCATTGAGAATCTTGTGTGCCATGACCCTTTACTAAACCCAGCATTTCAAACACTATTATTAACAGTTCATTTAGAGAAATAGGGGACCAAATTGATATGTGGCCAGCCTATAATCTATATTGTTTCAGCCAATCACTCTGGTGATGTATATGTCCTTTTGTATCACATTAACTTGTTAAATTTATTAACTTAAGTTGGTTGTATATCTTCTACCACTTTCTGGTCACTTGCATCCACTTTCTCCTTGGTGTTTCCTGTGACTGTACTTTTTAATCAATCTACCCTGCTTTGCCCTCCAGCAGCTCATCAGAATGTCTACTTTTCCAGCTTGCTGAATTTGGTCCTCCTGTCAGTATGTTAGATATACTGCTCAACCATCTTCTCTCATATTTCACCTCTTGGAGACACATTGCCTACGGTGGATATTGTCTATTGTCATCATCCGGTGATATTGGATGGTCATCATCCATTCTGGTCATCTGTCTTAAGGGCACTTAATATTCAGCCTTGCTAACATGACTTGATGGTTATGAATTAATGATAAAGATTGTTTCATATGATTTGAATTATTACTTTAGGAAATAGTCACCAAGATAAGAACTCTGCCTCAGGCATTAACAAAGTGGAAAATTTAATCTAACATATATTGAGATACACAGTATGGTAGTAGCAAGTTATACATAATATTGTCAAAGAAATCTGGACTTAACTATATTGTGGAGGGCAGGCAGCCAGTCCAATGGGAAGGGAATCTAGAAAGATGTGTACCCATTGGCAAAGGCAGAGAGGACTGTTATCTTGTAGGGAGAGGGAATACATGTCCAGGGAGTTTCTATGCTAATAAGGGGCTGCCACTCATGCTTTTGTTCACTGGGGATAAGGGTAACCTGTGGTCAGATTCCTGTGAGGGACAGAGAAGCACAATCAGGTAGGTAGAGTTAACCATTGAGGGTTTTGTTCTGATGGGTGAAATAGTTCTGCTAACGATTTGTGTGGCAAACCAGGAATGTGTAAGGAGCATGCTGACACATTCCTATAAAGTCACAACAAAGTGAGAAACGTGAGCATGAGTGCACAGGTCCAAAAGAACTGAACTGTCTCTCATGCCATAAAGGAATCTGTTACCGTACTTTTCTTTTTTGAGGACATTCTTTAGGAAACTGTGCACTTACACATTTCTTCTCCTTTGAGAGGAACAGAAGTCTAACCACAGCCCGAATGAGCCTCTTGTAACTGTTGGACACTGGGGTGTTCAATATTTTTGGCCCCATCCCTGATAAGTATAGGAAGATGGCAATGGATAAACTGAGCTGAGCAGCTAGAGGACTGGGTAGTTTCATAGCTATCACTTAAGATGGTGCTAGAGAGTCAAAGTGAGGTGTTTAAGACTGGATATCTTAGGTCAAATGAGGGAGAATGGTATCTGCAGAAGCATATCCCAGGAGAAGTACAAGAGGACATGGGGGGGAGGCACTTTGCAAATTATAGAGCTTGTGAAGCTAAACTCTGAACATTGATACAGAACTAGACAAACCTGTCAGAAAAACAAGAGTCCATAAGCAATTATGGTTTGACTGCCTGATAGGCATTATCACAAAAGACTGTCCAACAGGCCACTATACCCTTATGCAGAAAGTACTTCCACAATAACATCTGCTTCAGACTGATGCCAATTTTTTTTAATAATTATAGTGAGTGACTATTGTTTCAAATATATATATATACTCACCCTGATTTTCATTCTCACCTTTATTTTAATCTCTGAATATGCCCATAGATTACTATGGTATGTGTACTACAGACGTATTGCTCTGCTAGTGTGCATGTGTATATGAATATGTAAACACACACACTTTGGAGAAATTTTATTTTTTTAAGTTGACAAATATACTTGAGTTATGAGCACAGCTTCACTGGGAAGCAGAAAGTTGGCTGTTGCCGATAATTGCTACAAGTTGGTGGACAACATGTTTGAGAAAGAATAGATTTCTTTCCTTTACCTTGGACAAAAGTTAACTCCAGGTGGAAATCCTCTGTATGGAAAGGAAAACAGAACAAGCCTCTGTCTCTTACTCAGTATTTAACACACTGGGACTGTCTGGGAACTTAGTCTGTTGGGACTCCTGGAGCCCAGCCTGGCGCTTGTTCCCTAAAGTCCCTGGTGGTCATGTTTGGTCCTCATAGATATTTAGACCTATCTTCAGGCTTCACTTCTAATTCTGGCCCACCTGCTGTTTATACTTCAACCGCAGTTACTTTCCCCACTGAAGTCCTGTGCCCTCCAAGTCATTCATTCATATTGGAATCAACTCCTTGGTAGCTCTTGATCTCCTCCAATGAGTTGTGGATATTTTAATGAAATCTAGGATCATGAATCATCTCCAGAAGATTTCAGTTCACCGTAACAATCACTATCTTTCTCAGCTGTAGCCATATAAAATACATTTGCTGTATAAAAGAACCTAGCAGCATGAAAACAAGCCATCATATGATTCTCTATCTGAGCTCCAGGGCAACTGTCTGTCTTGTTATTGAGAGGCAAAAAGAGAAATTGTTTTCCTGAGAAGTGGATTTCATCCATGGGCTAAAACATCCAGTCCAAGACAGATGTGCCATCACCCAGACTTTGTTGTTCTGTTTCTAGAGCACAAAGACAGATGCTCTAGTACAGTCATGGAGTGCACTGGAATGTTCAGAATGGCATGGGAGTGTGGAGTTCAGTTTAAACTTATCAACTGCCAGAGTCTCTACACAAACAGCCATCCAGTCCTTTGGTGAGTCTGGAGCGAGCCTCTACACTCCTACAGTCAAGTCCTAGAGGACACTTTCTGACATTAAGCTGCTCCATCTGCACTGAGAATCTGCTAAGAGCATGATCACCTTCATGTGTCCTGTCACCCAGATCTTCTGGAAATCAAGCTGTAGCTCCAACATGAGCAGAGTGTACAGAAGGCACCTTCTTTCTTTAAACCTCAAGACCCCATCTTCACAGGCTTCAAGCTTTTCTGCAGGAGCTTCTTCACACTGCTCTGGGTTCCTAGATTGAGGAAAGGGTCTAACTCTTTTAGGTTTTGATGCAAGGGAATGTTTGCTTAAAGATTTGATCGTATATCCAGACAGCAAAATGTTCAGCAACAAGGCTGAAAGAATAGCTTATTGTATGTATGTCAACTTAAATACACTTTCATTTTCTGTAAGAATAATTTCCTGGCATTGAGAATTTGACTGACTGGTTCAAGTGGCCTAGTTTCTGGCCATCTTCAGCACCTCACATACCTTTCTTATTAAGCTTTCTCACTTCTGGCTTTTGATTCATATTTGAGGGACTTTGATTGATCACACAGAAGCTACTATGACCATTGTATGCCTTGGCCAATTCTCATGGTGTTTTTGTTTCAGGGAAGTGCCAGAGAGATAGGAGAAGTGCTAGTTAAGGGTCAAAATATATCTAGTATTCTCTCCTTCCTCTTTTTGGGTGTAATTATTGTTTTAAAGATTTATTTATTTGTTTATATATTTATTTTTGAGATAGGACCTTAACTCGATTGCTCAGACTTGCCTGGGACTCCCTGTACAGTCCAGGTTGGTCTAGAACGCATGATAACCTTCCTTCCTGCTGTAGCCTTTGAAAGGCCAGAACCTCAAGTGTGAACCACGAGGGCCAGCAAGTTCACTATCTTACAGAGGTCTATTTGTGAAGTCTGTAAAAGATTCTAACAGTCACATTAAAGATACATAGAGATACAAAGGAAGTGTCAACAGCTGGAAAAATGTTGTCTATAGAGCTCCTCTACAGACAGAGTTCCACCAATATTCAGGAAACATGGCACCTGTGAATCACAGCCAACTGACACATACCTGTAGGTCAGCAATGGAATGTGTCCACTACAGACGAACAGGAATCTGGTGCTCTTCCTTTGAGTGTGCTTTGAGAACCAGCTCTGTCCTTGTAGTGAGCCTTATGACCAAAGTGAAACAAAATTTCTCATCTGTTTCTCTCTCAATGCAGATTCATTAATCAAATATTCTTTTTAAAATTCAGGATGACGGTGTAAGTTTTTCTACCCATACAGGTGGCTAAATCTGGTTCCATTCATGTTAAAAACTCTGTCCTATTCCTACTATAATGGTGTGTGTATACATAGATGTCATGCAAAAATTCTAGATTGGACATTATATAAATGTATCACATGTTTACATATATAGATTCATGCTGTGAGGTTTGGAGTGGGTGGTGTTTGGGAAGAAGCTTCAAAGTATCAGAGCCTATCCTAGTAAGAGGCTTTTGTAATTTCATTGAGACCATACACAGACTAAAATGTTCTGGATGGGACTGGAAGGAAAGGACTCTTTCTATATCAGTCTTCTAAACAGTGAACATGATTTTACACCTTAGAAAACACACTGGCAAGATTTACAATGTGACAGAGAAACCAATGGATGAGATGAAGGGATACTAGTGACCCCATGCTGACCAACCTCCTGGTACATCTTAGAGACCATTGTTTTTTGGAAGGTAGGATGAAGGCCAAATCCAGGGCTTTGTATGTGATAGGCTGGCACTCTGTCAATGGGCAGCAGTCTCAGCTCTTGTCAGCACAGGACAGTAGCAAGATCTCTGGTTCCAGAGAAGTTATGTTATTTAGGAAACACCAGCATCACAGCTTGAAAACAGGCTTTCTGATTCAATGGTGAGTCTCTTATTCTCTGAAAGGTGTTGATCTGTTATATTGGTATTTATCATTTAATCCTAGAGGGAAGGTAAAACATTTTTTTCTTATTTTTGTGCCAAAATTCTAGAAGCAACATTTTGTTTGCTATCTTTGTGAATTTAGATTAAAAAAAATATTGGTTTAAGAACTAGGAAGTCGGATGAGTCATCTCTTCTAACTTACAAAGGGATAATGCATGGAGAACATGTCTGTAGTGGTTGGAAAGCAGAAGGTGAAATTAATAACACACGAAGGATTCAAAGCACAAGAGCAATATGGGATCAGATGAATTTCGTCTGAAATCAGATGACTAATGATAAGGACAGCTAATTCTGACTGACCATTTGCTGGGTGTTAAGAGCCATTTAAAGCTTTCTAAGCTTTCTACAGATTAAATTACCTGAATTCTCAGGGTAACCTAAGAAATATATCTTTTCTTCCAACCTAACACAAGGAAACAAGAGCTTGTGGTGTTTTCGGTCAACATTTTACAAATCCTAGGTAGAGAAGAAATAGATTGACAGGGCTGAAGATGATTTTAATTGGGGAGACAATGTCTGAAGTTCCTTGAAGTCTATCTACATTTAAAGAAAACAAAATTCTCAAACATAATTAAAGTGATCAATATTCTCTGACTTTAAACTTATAAAACCCAATTTTAAGATCTTGAAATCAACTTACTATGGTGATACAAAATCCAAATCTTTGTGCTTTGTCAGTGACAGGTTGTTGAAAGATTACATAATGCCTCTTGCACTATTGTTTTTAAGATTAGCAACCTGTTCATAAACAAACAAGTAGAGAGCTTAACAGGTTAAAGGTGGCCCTAACAAGCTTTCAGCCCAGAAAGGTGCTATCAGATAATTATATTATACCTAGGAAGACCCCAAATGCTTAGCATCGAGTGTGTACAAGCACAAAAGGCCAGAGTCATACCCACCATACAAGGAGAGGGGTGACCATGGCCTTCACTACTTACAATTCTGTTCCTTGTTGAGGATGGAAAGAAAGTGGCTTCGTCTTCGATGAGGAAGAGTTCCTGACGGTGTCTGCTGAACTGCGCAGTGAAATACTCAGGGTTAGGATACTTCACAGCTGATGGAAGCTTCACAGGCCCAAGCATGTAAGACAGGGGTGGGTGCTTTGGCCGAGGGATGTCACTCAACTTAATAGGCATCTTGATTCCCAGCACTTCAGCATAAGTGACCAGGACTTCCCACGGGGCATGGATCTTCACAAAATAGGTTTTCCCATCTTCAGAGTTCTGCATAAAAAGAGACAGAGTCAAAGAAAACTAATGTTTAAAGAAGGCAAATCTCATAAAATCTCAGAAATGGAAATAAATTTTAGCAAATCTCATGGAATCTCAAAAATGAAAATAAAATTTTGATTTACTCAATTTTAAGCAAAGTCTCTCTAGAAAATGTGATAACTCTAAGATGTTTATGAATGTGTACTGTGGTGGTTTGAAGGAAAATGGCCTCTACAGCTCATGTGTTTGAGTGCTTGGTCCCTAGTGGAACTATTTGGGAAGGATTAAGAGTTGTGGTGTTTTGGAGGAGGTATGTTGCTAGGGGAGAGCTTTGAAGTTTCAAAAGCCCACTCTAGGACCAGTGTCTCGCTCTCTGCTTTCCACATGTGATCTCACAGCTATTCTTTCCTTCATGCCTTGCTCCTCCACCATATATTCTTACCATCTGAAATCATAGGCCCCAAAGAAACTTCTTTTCATAAGTTGTTTTCACTATGGTGTCTTATCACAGCAGAAGAAAAGAAAGTAAGACATGCACTAACATAGAAAAAACATATATATATACACATATATATATATGTATATGTATATGTATATGTATATGTATATATATATTAGATATACAATGTATAATATAAAATATTATAAATATATAAAATATATTATATTATATACGTGTTTATATATGCGTGTCACAGGGAGAGTCACAGATACACATGGAGACCAAGAAAGAATTTTGTTTTCAGGCTGTACTATCACAAATATTCTAAATGTTATCTAAAATATACTTCAGTGTGATTGCTCACTCAGCACTAGATGGAATCCCAGCTACATATATAATTCTAGACACTATACTAATTTTAAGTGAGCTTGAGCTTGGAATTTTGTTCAGATAATTATATGAAGTTATTAATATATATTATATCATATCATATTATATCATATTTTATTATATTCATGCAGCTAGCTGTTTCCCAGTCTTCTTTGTTACTGTATAGAGACCACATGAAGGTCCACTACATAGGAAAATAAGTTACAGATTGCGTTGTGCTGCACATATTTATTGGTTCAGTAAAAACCAATGAGAAAGAAGAATTTGAAGATAAAATCAAAGCTAGGGTTTATTAGAAGAGCCAAATAGGATGTGATCTTGAGTAGAGCTTTAACCACATATTTGAAGGTAATTACAGAATAACAGTAAATAAATATGAATGAAGTTAAATAATAAGAGAATGCAAACTACTTCTGAAAAGAGTATCATGGGTTAAATAGTGGGCTGTCTTGCAAAATAGCCAGGTAGCTAGCTGTTCAGTGTACAATGTGACAGGCAGCTTCAAGGTAAGACAGCTATGTAATCAAGGAGCTTCTCCTTCTGTACCCTGAGTAGAAAGCATGTGGTTCATATGTGCGTGTGCATGTACACATGTATCTGGTGTTACATATGTAGTGTGTTCCTGGGGGTGGCAATCTTGATGCAGTTCCATAGAAACCAACCACCTTGTTCTTTGTTTCTTTTGAAACAGAGTCTTTCACTAGTATCTAAGACCATCAATTAGGGTTGGCTTGATGGACATCATGTCCCAAGGACCCACTTGTTTCCCAATGTTAGGGTTATAAGTGGATATTACCACATCCAGACTTTATATGGTTTGGGGTGAAACTTGGATCTTCATGCTTGTATGCTAAGCACTTTACAGACTTGCCATTTTCCCATTCCCCATGTTCCTCCAAGTTTGAAAGATATTTTGCTGGTGCATCACCTCACTGAATACTGACCTGGGAAAACACAGGTCTTCTTGTCTCCATGTATATCTCTGTAGCCAAAAGATTAATGTAATGCTCCAACCTCAACATTCAGCCAGCCAAGTACACAAATAGGAGAAAAGCCTACTTAAAATAAGATCCTTGCACAATTTATCAACTATAGTTACCATCTTGTCTTCTATTTCCAAGTCAAGACCTGTTTTTCTGAGATTTTGTTCAAATTTTCGTCTTCTTTCCTGCAGCAAAAACAAATGAAGAGGGTGACGTAGGTGTTCTGTGTCAGTGGAAAGTGCCAGCCTAGCCCTCTGTGTTAGTTGGTGATGTAGGCCTAGCCCTTTGTGTTTGCTGATAGTGCTAGGGCAACCTGTTAGAGCATAGTGCCAGTCCAACATTATGTTAGCTGACATGCCTGGCTTACCTTGGTTATGGTTTACTAAGGGCTAGGCAGAGTAAGGATATATTGCTGTGCTTCTAGAGGGTTATAGGACCTTCTATGGTTGTATATAAAAGTACCCTACAAAACATCCCTACTTCAGGCCATGTACTGCTTTTGACCTATAGCATAACTGACAAAACTATGGAAATCTAAAATAGGAACAGATTCTAAGACACAGCATGTATTTGTAGTTCAGTAAACGTTCAGTTTTACTGAATGATTTAAAAGTATGAGATGCCCTTGTGGACAGACAGACAGACAGACACACACACACACACACACACAGAGAAAGAGAGAGAGAGAGAATGAGAGAGAGAGAGAATCTAGCTAGAAATATTCAATATTACAAAGACAGGCAATCCTCAAAAAAGCATTAATTATAATGCTGCCACAGATCAGAACCTCATCACAGCTTGTGCTGTTGAATAGCAAGAGGGCTTTCACTCAAAGAAAGGTTAAGACTCAATACAAGTTATGGCCTGCAAATAATAATTACTGTAGGATTGAGACAAAGGACTGATGAGTAAACTTTCTTCCAGCTGCCATTATAATTAAAACGTGAACACTTTCAGGAGGTCTGAACTATGAAAGGCTTCAGTAAGCTGTTCTTAGTCATTTATGATTAATAGGTACCTTTCCATCGAGGTTCTGGCAAACTTAATAATGAACAACTTTAGTATGTCTGTAGTGACATTTTTGAGAATTCTGGAGTTATAGGTATTTTTTTAGACACAGAAATATTGTAAGAACATGTTTTTTGTTTTAATCACACGTGAAAAGGTGCAGGGTTACTTCAGGTTGTCCACAGCAGCTGACTATGTTTTGCCTCGTGCTCTAGAAAAAGCATGGTTTTGCCAGTTGCAGATAATTTCTGTAATTGGAATTCTGGGAACTTTTCAGAGGGTACATAAATTCAAGAGCCCTGAGAGGCAGGGTGGATGGTTGTTGGTTGTTTGGAAAGGTTGTGGTTTGTTAGTAGCCATGGTCAAAGAAGAAACAAAAGAAATTATACAGGTCTCTTTCTCTCTCTCTCTCTCTCTCTCTCTCTCTCTCTCTCTCTCTCTCTCTCCTTTCTTCTCTATCATTGTTTCTCTCCTACCCAGTGATAGAGGGTAAAACTAGGGGGATAAAGGATAGGAAATAAAAAGAATCCATAAAGGAGAAAAGGCCAATCACTATTCCTTTCCACGTCCAGTATTAATATAAAAGCGTCTATGATTGTGAAATCCCTCCCCTCAGCCATCTTTAACTACATTTCTACAATATAAGATATCTTTCAAATTTCTTAAAAAAAAAGTAAGAATGGAGGATAATTTAAAATGCTGTGTCCAGCACCAACAGAATGAATTAATCTTTAGCAGTAAAACATGAGGTTTTGTAAGTTGAAGAATCATAAATCCCCAGAGTTCTACAGAACTGATGGCAGAGCTAAGAATGAATGGCAAACCATAAAGCATTATTTTAAACATTAATGGTTTTGTAATTAATGAAAATTTCTTAGATTTGTTAAAATATTTTCTTTATTTTTATTTTATGTTTATGAATGTCTTGCCTGCATGTGTGTCTGTACATCATATGTGTGCAGTGCCATTTGATCTCTGGGAGCTGGAATTATGGACAATCATGAGCCACCATGTGTGCACTGGAAATCAAACTGAGGGTCTCTGAAAGAACAGCCAGTGCTCTTAACTACTGGGCCACCTCTCCACTTGTTTCTTTATTTTTTTCATAAAACTCATGGGTTTCAAGAAATCTGTAATTCAGTATTTCCAACCTATCGATCCAAATCTCCTTACTTTGCACCAAGTTGCATAAGAACAAAAGAATATGATTGAACCTGAACTCTTTGATTCTAGGAATGTTCTTACTCAAGTAAAAATGAAGAAAACAACACCAAGCCCCTGTACTTCCACAATCAATACATTTATTATAAGCATGGTGTAAACGTTAAAGTTTTTCTTTTCATATTTTAAAATATATCAATAATTTTTATCAGTTATTCATTCATGTAATTATGAACTCGTATAATTGTAAAATTAATGCAATATTGAAAGAAGCATTAAGATTCATTGTCTTATAGTTAATGATAAGAGTATTTCAGTCAATCTATTAGGTTTCTTTTTGCAAAGTTAGGATTTAATGAGTAATAAAAGATGTACGTGTATGTGCTGGACTTAGGCCCCCTACAAATTTGTAGGAGAGGTGTAACTTGATCTTCATGTGTTAACAACTAGATCTGGGGCTGTCTCTGTTGCCTGCCTTTGTATGGAATCCCTTAGTGGGGCTGTCTTGTCTGGCCTCAGTGGAAGAGGACATGGTTAGTCTTGATACAACTTGATATGTCAGTATGGGTTGGTACCCATAGGGTGGGGTAGCTCAAGGAATGGTATGTGAGGATGGGATTGGAATGAAAGGGGGGAAGTGGGGCTGAGATTGGAATGGAAAGTGGATAAATAAATTTAAAAAATGAAACTGAAAATCAGAGATGCACAAGGGTAGTCATTCACATGAGAAAGAAAGTGTGTGACAAATAGAATAGAAGTTTTAGGTGAGAAAAAAAAACCTTAGTTGTGAAGGAGTTCCTTTGCATAAATCTTTAAAATAATCCATGAATGATAGTGTGAGTCCAGTTTCCATGTAACTGACTTTCTATAGATATGTGTGGAGAGGTATTTTATAACATATGTTACACTTTTTTTTTTTTAATATGTTGTATATTTGTTTGGATATGTAAGTGCAGTGCTTTGCAGGCCTGCAGAGGGCAGCAATGCTCTAGAACTGGAGGGACAGACAGTTGTGAGCTGAGTCACCTGTGCTGAACTGTAGCACACGTTCTCAGTTACTCAATCCAACATTATTCTTTTTTATAATTGTTAGAACTTATGGTGAATAACTATGGATGGAGTACATTTAAAGATGAGTCGGGCTTTGGGGGGCAGTTTAATGAGTAACTCATGTTTTAGACGTTGATAAAGGTCGCACAGAGATGTGGATCCTCACTGAGTAATGTACTCTTGCAGAGAATCACGGATTAGGAAGGAAGGTTGCTGATTTAAAACTGTGAAACGAAACATTGCCATCAAAGACAATGATGATGATGATGATGTTGATGTTGATGATGATGATGATGATGATGAGGAGGAGGAGGAGGAGGAGGTTGTGAGCTGTGTCCCATGTCAATGTCATTCCAAGGGACATAGGAGAAAGACAGACTGATAAATAAAAAGAAGCTAGTGAAGGAGTAGAATATTCCCAAGGATACAGAGCCCCAGAAACAAAGCGAAGATAAAGCAAGCACAGTGGAGAAGGAACTGTGATGACTACTCTTGGTTGTTAATTTGACTAAACTGGAATGAATTACAATCCAGAAATGTAGGGCACACCAGTCAGGCAGGGTTTTTTAATTAATTAATTAATTAATTAATTAATTAATTAATTGCTGTTGTTTTTCACTTGGTTTGAAGTGAGTGAATCCAGTTCTAGTATAGACCTTTGAGGTAGGAAGACACCCACCTTTGATACCACTGCTGAGGCAGAAAGACGCATGTCTTTAATTTGGATCTTGAGGTGGGTAGACATACCTTTAATCTGGGCTGCACCTTCTGCTAGCAGCCTATATAAGGACATAGAAGAAGGATGCTTTTGCTTTTTGCTTGCTTGCTCTGGCCTGGCTAGCAAGTCCATTTCCTCACTGGCATTAGAGCCTATTTCTTCTAAATTCCAGTGTCCACTTAAAACCACCTGAAACATCTAGACTTGTGGAGTTGAACAACTTCTGAATTCTTGTACTTTCCTTTCATAGACTGACATTGTTGAGTTGAGAAGGCTAAGCTGACCCCATGACAGGCTTCAAATTGGCAGTTCAAGAGACTATGCCTAAGAACTGGGCAAGTCCAGGCAAGCCCAAATAAGTCAGTTATAAGAAAACAACAACAACAACAAAGAAAGAGAAAGAAAAAAAAACAGGCTCAGGCAGCTAGTCAGAAACTTCCCTGTTTTCAAAAGCTGCCCCACCAAGTGGCCTGAGGCAAGGATAATGGGTCAGCAGCAATTTCCAGACTTCCTCAACAATAGTTTCCAGGCTTTCCCAGCAATAGTTTCCAGTCTCTATGCCCCAATAATGGTTCTGGAATGTCTCTAGAGAAGGACTCAACAGATTAAAATAGAGGTCACCTACCCCAGAATTCCCCTGATGTGCTTTAAATCAGGCCTGTGAGCTCAATTCTAGGTCTCTCTATCTTGGTAATGAGAGACCCTACCACACTGGACTTCTGTAGAATAAAACAGTCTTTGCATTTACAAACTATTTGAGTGTGGGGTATCATTCTTCAGTGAATCATGGACCCTTACAGAGTTATTTGGACCATAGACTATAAGTGATTCTAATAAATCCCTTTTCTTTGTCTATAGAAAAATAGATTCATTCTATAAGTCTGCTACTCTAGAGAATCCTGACTAATACATTAGTCCAGCAAGACAAGAACTGAGATATGGCTATCGCTTTGTATATGGAGATGAACACTGTGGTTGGGGTGCATGGACCTTTGAGGGTAGCACACAAAGAGTTGGTTCTAATTAAACTGGTTTTTGGCAAAAAAAAAAGTCTAATTTCGAGGAAATGGACATGTAATCAATCACATAAAGAAAATTAGAAAGCAACCACATTGTGATTTTTATACTGCTTGAAAGGTTTTGCTCGGGTACATAAGCTGTGAGAGAAAAGATAAAGTTGTTGAAGCCTTACTTTGTCTACCAAATGTGTGTGAGTGTGTGCCTGCTTTATATTAGTCAGTGACACCACATCTCCTCCTTGGATGGCTGAACTCACTGTCAGAGTTGGCCTCTGGCAGAAAATGTAGTATATACATAAGGGGGAAGAATACAATTATGTTGTTTGCATAAAAATAACCGAATATTAGTGCATTAAAGGGAAAAGCCAGACTAACGAGTATTGCCTGTGGAGTTGGGCAGGCTGTGAATGTAAAGGGGGAAACATTAAAGACGTACAAGATGAACAGAGAAGGAAGCATGACTGAAACAGGTTATAGGCATGTTTGAGAATGCCACAGTTCCCATAACTAACACATGCTAACGAAAATGTTTACTGAGGAAGGAGACAGGGAAGTAAGGGACAGATGGAAGGAGGAAGGAGGGAGGGAGAGAGGGAGGGAGGGAGAAAGGAAGGGAGAGAG